TTTTCTCCTCTTCTTCTTTATTTATAGTAGTAATAATCTCTTTACTAGTAATAACCTCTATATTAATATAAATAGTTTAAAGAGCTATTTCCTCCTCTTTTTATTTTTTTTTCTTAATAGTAATATACTAAATAAAATAAGTAATAATATAATCTTTTTTTTTTTATTTAGTAAGAAAGATAGTAAGAGCTTTAGTCTCCTTAATCTCCTTTTTCTTTTTAGCTTCCTTTTTAGCTTAATACTAAGTATTAAAAAAGTAGCTATATTTCTTCTTAATAGAGGTCTCCTTAACCTTACTATTATTAAAATCCTCCTCTTTAATAAGTTTAAGAATAAAGTACTTATTATAGTTAGTAAGATATATAATAAAGGAGATAGTAGTAACTAAAAGAGAAGGATTAATAATAAAAAGGAGTTATAAAAAAAGATAAAATTAATAACTAAAATTTAAGAGAGAGAGTAACTTATCCTCCTCTTTATTATTAGAGGAAATAAAAGAGAGAAAACTAATATAATAAGAGTAATAAAACTTAAAGGTCTTAAAAGTATATATATAATTAGTAAGTATAATATTAAAATAAGTTTTATACTTAGTATTAAAAGTATTATAAGAAGATATTATAAAGTATTTAATCTACTTAATTAAAATATTAATATAGTAATAAAAAGAGTAGTATAAGATTAATATATAATTTATAAATTCTTAAAAAGCTAAAAAAAAAAAAGAAGAAAAATAATAAGAGGTAAGGGTAATAAAATATTATTAACTTACTTTCTTATTTTTAAAAAAAACTAAAATAATAAATAAAACTATAATTAATTAGAAACTTTAAACTAGTTAAATAAAGTAGATAGTACTTTATTTTATTACTTTAACTATTTATAATAAGAAAATTATTATTCTATAACTTATAAAATAATTAAAACTATAATAATAAAAAGTAATTAAAGCTATTTAGAAATACTTAATTAAGTTATAGGGATAATTATATAATTATAGTAATTATCCTTAAAGGGGTATATTAGATTATAAGGGTTAAATTAGTACCTCTTAGCTACTAGGGGAGGACTAAATAAATAGATAATCCACCTAGCGAGAACAGTAGGCCCTATGAAACCTATGCGCAGAGTTTTACTAGTTCTCAGGGATACGTACACAATACACATCCAAGTCAATTTATCACATCACAGCATCATCCTTCCACTTTTTCCCAGTAACCAGGCCTGGACCGGCCTTGCAGTGGACTCGTGCAGTGGACCAACGGCGCAGTGCAGCGGGCCCCCATTCAAAGACCCCGTCATGGGCGTGATGGGGTTAGCAGCAGCTTAATGGGCTCTAGCTTGCCGGTTCGCGAGGGCCGCCAACCGGCAGGGGCGGCGCCACCCAATTTGAAGCCGGCGATAAGGACACGTGGAGCGCCGATAAGACACGCGACCGGGTCTCAGCGCTTAACAATAAAACCTGGCCGCCACTTTTTTCTTTTTTGTGTGTTTCTCGTCGGATTGATTGACTGCTTATTACGCCTGCTTAAGAAGTTCTTTATCTGCAGCGCCAGGACATGGTGTTGCATAATTTGGGCAATCAACATTAACCATAATCCCCAAGCGCGGCATTGACGGCAGACCTGGTCGGTGGTCACTTGCACTTTCCCGTCCAACTTTCCACCCTTCCCTTCCCTTACCTTTCCTCGTCATCTCGTCTGGTCTGGTCTGGCCTGGTCAGTGGTCACATCATCAGCTGGACCTTTAGCTGGATTCAATCAGCAGGCCCCCATCCATTGTGTGTCGCAGCAGCCAGCCCGCCCCCATCCGTTCGTCTCTCTGGCCCCAGCCCAGCCCTCCTCCTCTTTCGTTTGCTCCCCTCCACCTCCCCCTCCCCCTCGTCTCTTTCTCCCCTCTCTCCCAGCCTGTCATCACCCTCGTCACCCTCGTCGCCCTTGCACCTGTTGCATCACACACAGCCAGGCAAGGAGACAGACAAGAGGATTGAGCGCAAACCACCAACGCCAACGACGCTAAACACCACCAACACGCAGCGCTGGCCAGTCCGTGTCACACCGCCACCTGCGCTCGCTCACACGCCTTTGCGCCGTATCCGCATCCAACACCACGAATTTCCACCCTCGCGCTGCACTCTACTGCACCTCCAGCGCCGTCCAGACCGTCGGCTCCAGATTTCTCGCCAGCGTGTCCAGTCAGCGCTCATCGTCGCCCCAATCCTGTTTCCTCTCCCGCCACCGCTCATCCAGCGCACTCGCCAACCTTGCCAGAAATCCACACCATCGCAGCCCGATTTGCTCCCAGAATCCAGGAACCAGTTCACTAGGGAAAAAATAGACCAGCAAGGAAAAAAATGACCTCCATCGTCACGGACGTCTTCGACGCCCTCTGGGGCTTTAATACCCACGTCACCCTCTTTGGGCGCATGATGTTCCTCTGGTCCTTTGTCCTCCTCGGTATCCTCATTGCTGTCCAGGTTTCCCAGTACGGCGAGCCTGACCATACCAGAATTCAGTGGGTGCGCTTGAATGACGAGTCTCGGTAAGTCTGGCTTTGGTTGTCTTGTCTTGCTTTTTTCGGCTTTCCCTTCCAAACCATCACCTCCTGTCTCGTGCCTTTTCGTCTGTATCACATCCAAATGTCCTTTTCCCATCAGCCCATGCACCATCACCACCTGCAACACAACACGTACTACTCATCGGCTGTTCTCTACGGACGTCTGAACTCCGTCTGAACTCGTCCCATCCATCCATCCATCCCTTCTTCCCGCCCTACCTAACCTAACCTACACCTACCTGGCTTTACCCTCCACGTCCACCGTTTCAACCCGCGCCTCGCATTGCATTGCATTTCTTTGTCTCTTTTGTCCCGCCCGCCGCCAGCGGGAAATCCGTGCGTCAACCGCAAAAAGCCCGTTCCCTCCCCGCCATGGATCTTCCATGCCGCAAGGTTTCACTGTCTCCGCAATTCCGAGTCTCCTATTTTAGCAAAAGGGACACTTTGTTTGATGACATGCCACGGCTTATGGGGCACCCGCAAATAAGCAAAAACACTCCCCCATGCGCTTTGTTTTCATATAAAGACTATTGGACGGCACCTCCTTCTGGACCTTGCTAACCTCCGTTTCTTCATGCGCCCTACAGTCCTTACTGGTATACCTTCTACGTTCTCGAAGCCTTCCTCTTCGTCTCCGGCGGATATCCAATGCTTCACGAAAAGATGTCAATGTACCTTGGTACTGGCTACGAGGATCAGATACTCAACGCCATTTGGATCGGTCTCCTCAGCGTCGAGGCCCTCATGGTCGCCGGCGTCACCGTCCTCTCCATCTCCCGCAAGCTCAAGTCCCCGCCCAAGCAGAAGACGAACTGAAAAAGCTGTGACGTCTTCTCCGACGCCTTTTATTTTTGTTGCACATCTCGAAAAAAGAAAGAAAGAAAGATACCCACCCACGATGTTGCCAGTTACTGCATCAGCCTCGGCGGCCGCCTTCAATATACTTCATTTTGCGCGCATGCATTTGCACCCTTCTCCCTCGATCGTCATCCCCGAGTGACCTTTTTACCGTACGAACCGACATGTTTCATGAAGATACCCACGAACGAAAACCATGAGAAATCGCGGCGGAAACCTGCCGACCGCAAGAAAAGCCACCATTGAGCGCCGCTTCCCACCAAGGCGCTGCACCGATTGAACGAAAACATGGAAGGATACGAAGAGGACACATCATCCCGCCCGAAAGATGCACTTCCGGCACCTCGCAGCGTGTCGGGCTGACGGTTGCGCCCGGCGTATGAGAGGTACAGGACCCTGCATTTAGATTACTGCGTGGAGGGGCACCGTGGCGCCCAATCGGGACAGTGGAGGCTTGGCGAACGGAGGGGAGTTTCCCCGCGTATGCCATCACGACATGCGAGATCTGCCTGCATGTCGGCGACAGAACAGCTGGCCTTCCGAGGTTGACGACACCGCCGCCGCGCCGCCCTTTCGGCCACGTCGCGCATCAGTGTGACGCCTCATTTGGAGAAACTTTTGGCCAGCGGGGCATGGAAGACATGCTGGAGCGGCGTTGCCGACGCGGCTAAATCGCCCTGGATGAATGCCGTTGACGGCTTTCTGCCCACGCCAGCGATGGAATTGTGTCTGCGGCCACGTGTTCTCGCCGCCCTTCACCTGACCTACCGAAAACTTCGTCATCCTGTCGCCATGTTCTTGGCTACTTCTACCTATCCTTCCGCCCACAAAAATATCTCCAAGTACGCCTTCAAACGCAGCAGTGTACCCCCTGTTGGCACACCTTGTAGACGGGCCTGAGGACCCTGGTATAATGCCCAAAAAAGAAACATGTTCGTTACATATCGCTCCTTAAGGCATAAGGACGTCTACCAGGTCTATCGGCAGGTGGCACTGCTGCATTTCAACGCACGCCTGAGGGTTAATCTGGCGCCTCAGCTAAGCAATCTGGAGATAGCCATGGAGCAGGGGCTCTAGGATAGTTCAAATTCAAAACAATTGATGACCTCAAACCACATCTGCCGTGTCTCCATCCCTTCCGTGCTCTCCGTGCTTTGATCGATTGTCCTAGAAGAATACTGACTCTCTCCATTCATCTACAATGAGTCGCGGCATCTTCGGAAGTACTGCCCTGGCCTACAAAACGGATGAACCTGTTCACGATCCCCAGTGTGGCTTGGCGTTGATGATGGATGGGTGCCGTCCCGCATTTAACCTATCAACACTCAACATGCAACGCTCGTATAAACGCACGACGAGAGGAATGATAAGCAACGATTCTTCTATCTGATTAACGTACACAAGCCCTCCGTCCGATCCATCTCGGCCACTTGCGCATCTCTGAATGAAGCAACAATCCTGACATCGTACAAAAAAGGAACCAACGAGCCTTTCCCTTGGGTATTCATTCCTACAACTCCAAAAACGATCCCGAACGACAACGTTCCGTAGCCACAACCAACTTTCCCACTGGGATTCACCTTGTTCTACTCCCGCAGCAAGTCCAAGTTCACATTAGGCCAGTACTCGTCCACCCGAACGCCCTGTGCCAGATCAATAGCTGCAACACCGACGCTCTTGATAGCCGTCTCTACGAGGCGGGCCTGCTGACGCAACACGACGGGGTCTCCGCCGGCCTCGGCATTGGCGACCAACGTCTCGACGGTGCGGCGGGCGTTGAGGAGCCTGGTGAGGGTGCGGTTGAGCGTGGATCTGGAGATCATGTGGTTGTCGGCGTGGGGGCGAGGGCCGTGGAAGGCAGGAGGGGGGCCGATGAAGGGCTGGCGAGGGCCTGGGTGAGGACCAGCAGGGGGCTGAACACGAGGGGGGCCGGCGGGGTTTTGGACCGCAGCCGTGGAAGGGTGACCATCACCAGTAGCGGCCTGGACGGGAGGGGGAGCCGCGAAAGGATGACGGACGCTGGCTGGGTGTCTCATGTGAGGAGGACGAGAGTCCATGAAGGACTGGCGAGGGCCGGCATTGGGATGGAGGGGAGGGGGAGCCACGGATGGCTGACGAGCGCCCTGACGAGCACCCTGACGAGCAGCAGCAGTCGGCTGGGCAGGAGGAGGCTGAGCGGCCGCGGGACGAGGCGAGGGGTGGCTGATCCGGCGGTCCACGGGGGTGTTCAGCAGGCCTAGCTCGGTCTTGGTGCTAGGTATATCGGAGCGGAAGCCTGTGCCGAGGTGGAAGTCTGCGTGAGGGTTCTCAGGGGCTGGAATGCCAGCTGGACGGGAAAAGGAGTTTCCAATCGAGGTGTTTCCACCGATACCGAGGTTCGCGGGCTGGGCTCGGTTCGAGGGGCTGGTAGCAGGGCCGTTGGCGTGACCACCGATGGCAGACGAGGCGGCGGGGAGGCCAGTGGCACCGCTCGAGGCTTCATGAAGACTCTTCCGCTTGGTCGACTTGCGCTTAGGAGGAGGAGCAGATCTCGTCGGGAAGTGTCCCATGGGCGGCATCTTCGGGGTTTCGCTGCCGTCGGCGGGAGTCTGCTGTTGACCATTCTTGGGTTGGGCAGAGCCGTTAGATGAAGCTGACTGGGCGGCCGGGATGATAGGACCTTCAGTGGTCTGCTCTCGGCCATAGACGACGTGAGCCGGCTGCATATGCGGACGTACGGGGGTTCCAGAGGTCTGCTGCTGGCCGGAGTTGATGGGAGCTGGCTGAATAGCCCGGTTGGCAGGGGCTCCAGGGGCTGAGGGGACGGGCGGACCAGCGTTCAAAGGAGCGCGAGCCGCAACCCGAGGAACTTTGAAGTATTCCTTGCTAGCGTTGATGTTCTTCTTGACGTACTCCTCATTATCGCGAAAGAGGGCCAGCATGTCGGGAGGCAAGTCGGAGGGCAACAGAGCTCTCGAGTCCTGGGCTGGGTCAGCGTTGAAGTCCCGGACAAACTGTTCCCATGTGCTCTCAAAGGAGTGCTTTTGCATATCGTCATCCGAGACAGAGAAGGGGACCTCAAAGCCCGAGGCGGTGAGCTCCCCGGCCAGGTCATGCAGCGCATCGGTGAAGTAGCCCAGTTTCTCTTCACCGAACTTGGGAGAACGCACCTCAGGAGGGGGCCCTCGCTGCTGGGAAGGCCGGGGGCAGACTTGGCCGAGGCTGTTGAGCATAGGCGGATAGGGGAAAGACACTTGGCCCTGGGGCTGGCTGGAGGTAAGACGCTGGTTTCTCGGGTGTTGAGGGCGGACAGGGTCCAGCGGCACGAACGTCCGGGGACGAGAAGCAGGAGCCATCGGAACGGGCGTCTGGGGACGAAAAGGAGGAGCCATGGCGTTGAGGTGGGGAGTGCTCAAGAGCCTCCGGGCCGCGATGTTGGTCGGGGTGAGAGCGCGAGGGGCAGGTTGAGGGGTCTGGGGGGGAGCTTGGGAGGGGCCGAAGCCGCCGTGGAGGGGAGGGTTGTGCTGGACCGGCCCATGGTTGATGGGGTTGGCGACGCCGACGCTGGCGAAGTCAGTATTTTGATTCAAGGACTCAAGATAGGGAAGGCTTACTTTTTGAGAAAGTTGTCTCCAGGGGTCTTGATACGAAGGTCGCCGTTCTCGGCCCTCTGGCGCTTGGGGGCGGGGGAGCCGGCGCGGTCAGACGCGTCGGTCGAGGTCGAGGGACCTTCCTGTGAAGGCATCTTGTGAAATTCCTTCAACGAGATTCCGTGATCGCGTCGAATATTCGCGAGTCTGCTATTCAGTGTGTTACAAAGCAAAGACGAGGTGGAGACTGACTTTGCGATGTCGCTTTGTCGAAGCCTGCGTTGTTGATGATGCTGGTAGCAATCAGTGTGGAAGCTACTCGACGAAACGCGTTGATGGAAGGAAAAAGACTTTTCAGGAATTTTGGCAAAAGGTCGGACGGGGTTGCTTTTGTCTCGAGGAAAGGACCTGGGTTTGTTTGTGAGCCCCCTCACTTCATCTGGCTGTCGACGACTCAGCGGAGGGGAGGGTGGTTCACCATGGTTGCCAGCGACTAAGCAAACAGTAAGTTGGGTAACGGTGGTTCTCGGCATAGATGTTATCACTGGGGCCCGATCTGTCACTTGGGTGCGAGGTCTCAGTTGGGTATTTTGTCTATATGTTTGGATTCTATCTTTAAGCATTTCATGGGAATGACCTATTTAGAGTCTATCTAAACCTGTGATGACGACGACGATCCCTGAATCCGTTGAAGAACCTGCGCCTTGTCTTTCGTCTCTTCTTCAACTCTCAACATTTAGATATGTCCCTGAGTAATTAAGGTGTTGTTATAAGTCGCTGTAACAAAGTGACAAGGAACAAAGAGTACAATACTCTGAGTGTAACTTGGATTCTCCACAGCCTATCAAATACGCTCCAATATTACCTTCACATAAATCTGTTCTCCGCTTGAGCTTCGGTGGGATACTCAACGGCGGTGGCACAGGCGGATCTTCGAAGCCTTTGTCAAGAGATGCCCACTCCACCATATCGCCAACATACATGGCAACGCCGATCGTCGGCTGGTAACCCATCATGTCCCGAGACATGTTGCTCTCCAGGAGATTGCACTGCCTAAGATTCAAATGGAAAGCTGTCGTAAGCTCCAGCTTCGCACCGAACCTTCGTCTTTCCTGATTGCCGTCATGTGCCACGCTAGCAGACTGCCCCCCAACCGCTCGAGTTGACAGGCCCCGCCATGCAAGGCGGAGGTAAAGTTAAATTGATTGCAATACATCCAACGATTATTATCCTGTGTGAACCTCCTCATCGATTGACCAAAAGACGACTGGTATAACTGTTGAGTTCAATATGTCTGCGGGAGGGATGGAGTGTCACCTGGGCTGTTCATGTTCATCCCATCCCTTTGATCCTTTTCCCATACTGTACCTTCCTGTACATATCCCTTGACGTCTTCTATCCACTCTTCGTTTGCGTCCAACAAAATTGAAAACTCAGCTGGCTTCATGGTTCGTGCTCAAGGCAGGATGCTCATGGAGGAGGATACCGTCACTAATGTCATGCCATAGACCCGTACATCAATCGCAAGGATGTAACTCATCTCGCCATCTGCCTTAGCAGTCAGCCTTCTATTCTCGACGGTTGCCAACGCCACCAACGTAGCGAGTTGGTCCCATTATATAGATGTACTACAACCCAGTTAGGCTGTTGCATTGACATCAGTTATGATCTCCAGGAGCAGAATGGAAAGAGTGAGGAATGGAGGAACGATTGGATGACAGTCAACTGCAATTCTTATGAAGCGTAGAGGTATCATGGGGTATGAACCTTACATGTATCAACGACCATCATACATACATACGGCTTGCAGCATTGCGCATTATACAGCTAAGATACACCATTCTCGAGCTTCATGGCTTTAGGACACACGATATAAATCTTGCCTGCCTTTTCATGATCGACAACGGCTTTGCCGACGACTAGTCAGTCCAAATAAAAAGGAAGGTCACAGCGCTTGATAATCAGCTTTGTCAACCCCTCGACCTGACTTTTCCCTGTCTCCTGTCCCAAAAATACTCGTGTATGCTCACCATTGCACAATGTTCTTCTGATACCTTTTTCATTGAAGTTCTTGTCTCTAATGCAAATATTTCCTTCTCGGCTAAGGGCCATCCATAAAGGGTCTAGGTGCGCTACAGGTCATCTCCTGGCTGATGAGCACATTTCCCCACAAACGCCATGCCCTCAAACTTTTCCAGACTAAGCCAAGCTATCTTTTCCGAAACAGGTACAGCTGCTGAGGTGCGAATATCATGATGAAGCAAGAAAAAAGGTTTTCGAAGATCTAGGCAACCAACGATGAACCCCGAAAAGGAATATTTAAGGATCCAGGGATACACAGCCGCGCTTCACGAAGGTCGGCGCCGTTCGGCATCTACCGTACAAGCGCCCGTAGGAGCGCCGACATTGTCTGTGTGGCTCTGCATCAAACTAGTGAATCCCCGTCGAATGCTACGAGGAGGTTAGTAACACTGACTGAGAGCAAGCCACCCATCTAGGCAGCCTTGTAGGGCGACGAGTGCGCGCGACGAAGTTTGAGATTCGGTTTTGGGATTCTAAGCTTCTTGCAAGCCGGCATTCGCGCATCCTTGTCACAGCTCTAATTATAATAAGTAGGCAGGCGCAATACCTAATCTACAAACTACTCAGACCTATCTTTAACTAGCACAAAGCTTCCCCAATTACTACATTAGGAAATAGCAATAAGTTCATAATACTAATACAGTGAAGCGTCAGCCGCCTCCCCCTAATACCCAACCTATTTGAGTCAAGTTCGCACTACACTCAAAGTCAAAGCCTCATTCTCCAAGCCAAAGCTGTCTTCAAGACCGCCTTTGCTGACAAAATCTCAAGTCAGAGCCTCATATAATACTGGAAGAAGCGCCGACATCATGAGGCGCCGTCAATGTCCACTGCAGCTTACTGTCGATCACGTCAAGGCTTTCGAGCGTTTGACGATGGATCAGGGGTGCTACGTCCTTCGATGCCTGAAGGATGAATCATACTCAACGGCTTGCATGCCGTGTTTTTCGAACCTAGAAAGATAATTACATTGTTTTGTCGCTGGTCGCCGGAATTTTGCTGTCGCTTCCATACTGATTCCTGTTTCTTTTGTTATTTGATCACTTGTGTTTTGCAAAACAGCCATTTACAAAAGTCGGCATTGGACATACATGATTTCAGAGTCGAGATAGCAAAAAGCGAACATGCCTAACCAGGCAGCCTGCCAAACAAAATCGGAGCAGCCGGCCGGACCAGCTGTCCCAGAATTGGACGAAACAGTGGCAAAGTTACCAACATGGCAAAAATGGACGATACTGTGTGTCGTTTGCTGGATGACTCTGCCTGCTACCTTCGCCAGCAGCTCTATCATGACAGCACTTGCAGAAGTTGCCACCGATTTCGATGTCCCGACCCACGTCATTACCACAGCCAACGCTGGCGTTTTCATTGCGATGGCTGTGTCTGCCCTCATCTGGTTGCCAATCAGCACAATCATTGGCCGCAGACCTACCTATCTCTTAGCTACAATCATGCTCACGCTGTCTTCAGTGGGCTCAGTTACATCTCAAAGCTTCGCCCTTTTCGTCACTGCCTGGATCCTCGGAGGAGCAACCGGACTTTACTTCCTTATTGCTGGACAAACCATCTTGGCAGACACTTTTGAACCAGTTAGTTGTTGTCGGAGTTTCCCGATCCCAAGACACTTCTCTGACGTGATTGACAGACCAGTCGAGGCTTGGCGGTCGGGCTGTTTCTCGGGAGCTCGGTTGCTGCAAACTCATTAGGTGAGTAGCTTGGGTCTATCACAAAGCTCTTTCGCTGACCTTGGTGAAAGCGCCGATGATTGGAGGTGTTATTGTATCATACACAACATGGAGAATCATCTACGTCGTCCAAGCAGGAATGACGTTCTCTGGCCTAATGCTGGGATACCTATTCATTCCAAATACAGCCGGTTTTGAAGAGGAGGAAGCTAAGGGTGGATTCAGCGACAATGATGTTTTTGGTGCATTGCGCAGGTTCAGTCCATTTGGCGTGTTCCGCTTGTTCAAGAACCCAAACATCATTATGGCGGTAAATCTTCCTTTCAGATACTACCTCAGTCATCATCGCTAACCCTTACCGATTTCAGGACTTCGCTTGCGGGTTACTGGGCTTCAATCAATACGCTCTCATAGCTTCCGTTCGACGAGTTATCAACCCGCGATTCAACCTCACAACTCCCCTTATCAGCGGTCTATTCTATCTCGCCCCCGGAGCTGGCTTCTTGCTCGGCAGCACGATCGGCGGCGCGCTGTCAGACCGAACAGTCAAGCGATACATCCACAAGCGGAATGGTCTCCGGCTGTCGCAAGACCGACTCAATGCCTGTCTTCCCGCATTCTTCTTGCTGTTGCCACTAGGAACACTGGTCTTTGGTTGGAGTCTGCAACTAGAAGTTGGCGGGATGGCTTTGCCTGTCATCAGCTCATTCGTCCAAGGTTTCGGTCTAATGTGGTCGTTTAGCGGATTGAACACATACGCAGCCGGTAATTTCGACCCTAAAATCCATTCCTTCATCGCTATCTATTGCTGACTGAAGTGTCCTTTTATAGAGGTTGTACCAGAAAAGAGAACAGCCGTCATTAGTGGAAAATACATCGTGCAATACTGCTTTGGGGCCGGCGCTGTCGGTGGTGTCGTTCCCATGATAGACGCTATTGGAGTGGGCTGGGTCTTTACCATCAGTAAGCTCATATCATCTTAACAAGGTCAGATTCTTGAGTTGATTGCTGATTGTCCTTTGTAGCGGGGCTTGGTGCCACCTTTGGCGGTGTGCTCGTCTTAGCGATAATCAAGAAAACACTGCATATTCAAAGCCAGAAAACTATTGATGATAAGCTTGACAACGATGCCGACAGTTGTGTGTAAGTTGTAATGAAGCGTGGGTCGTTTGGAAATATCAATGTTCCGGGTGGGCATTGTGCACGTTTGTTTTACATCAGGATTGGAGTCTAAAAAGAGATTGATAACTTTGCGAAGCATCAGTGAGCACGACATCGAAAATGGACCTTAGACTACTGCCTTATCTGTTTGATTAGATCAATATGCACTGACAAGAAAGACTACATGCATTTCTCACAAAACTTACTAAGGAAGCGGACAAGTTAAAAGCTTGGGACTGGGGACGTCAACTTGAGTAAGGTTTGGACACCTACGGACTTTCTCTCCGACCGCCAGCTCCTTCTCTCAGCCACCAAATAGCATTTTGTCCTTTATTTGGCGCATCCTCGTCCACTTCTCTACTTGCATATTGATGATTTGATGTGATATCCAATGCAAAAAAAGCGTAATTCTGGGCATTGTTGAGCTTTGCAATATCACTCAGGGTAATGCACCTGTTGCAATATTTTAGGAAGGATCCCAACAACTTAGAAATTCTACCACTCACTTAGAAGGCGCATAGAAGTAGTCATACGAACCGTCTCGAGGAGCCGACGTCCAATGTTGAAATCCTCCTACCACACTAGGTAGATGTGTCATCTCGTGCAGCAGGGAGAGTCCGGCAGAAGGTTTCACAACTCGATTGCTCGCCCATTCGGATTCCGCGGCATAGTCCCCTTCATCTGTTCCGTAGTATCCATTATTGGAGAAAGCTATAGGACAAATGACTACGCTGTTGTCTTCTGTCCGTGCATAGGTTATGGTATGAGGTTCGGTCCTGCAAATTCGTAAAGCTTGAGCTGTTCCGCATCCGATGGCTATAACGTCATCCCTCCCTTGATGCGAGGACACGTAGGAAGTGGCTCCAGAGCCTAACATGTGGATAGGATCGAAGATGCTCAGTCTAACATCAAGCAACAGGTCTTGATTACTGTCTGGAAAAGATTGTAAGTTCTTTTTGGATCTTAAGCTGGATTAAGATCAAGAAGTCTTACAGCCAAACCATCCGATGAACGCAGCTGTTTTCTCAGCGTCGTCTTTGAGAAGGAAGTTGGACGCTGACTCGGCGTAATAATTCATCCATTTAATAGCATTTTGGATAAAAGCAACCTGTGTTGCGTTGTATACGAATAGGCTGCCTTCGGCACCCGCGATAATCCCAAGACTTCTTTTGCTGCGAAATCTTGTATGCAGTATTTGAGGCTGCAGTGCTGCGCAATAGGTCGCAACGAAGAAATGAGATAACAAAAGAATTGTATAATCGCGATGTTCATAATGTGTACCAGTGTAAGTTACGAACATAATGAAGCAAGTTGGCTCAGAGTCTCAGATGACTGGCTTGCAAAGAATTTATGTAACAAATTGTTCAAGCGGAGATACCGAGAAGTATAAAATAAACAATCAAACAACAAGTATGCTATAGATGGTAGTTCACATATTCAGGGGGCCCCGCCCCGTTGATTGAGGTTCGGCAACTGTCGCTCGCGCATGACTCAGTCACTCCGCTCACCAAGTACCTTGGAGCGTCAATTGATCGCATAACACTCGGGGCAGATCGTGGCACTTATTTTCCGGCACGCAGCTTGTCATAACGCAGTACCGCTCCGAGTAACACATTAGCACCAATAGCACTATGCACAGGTCAGCGTCGTTTAATCAATCAGGTTCGTGGGAACAATAATACCAGTCCTCCGGCGAGCAATATTCTGTAGGGTTGTGACTGATACCCTCCCGCGTCTGTGTGAAGATCATGCTTGTCGGCACCCGTAAGTTAGTGTAGCAGCTGTCATGCCCGGCGCCGCTGATCATTGGCCTGAACAGCTTGCGCTCACCAGCCTCGAGAAGCGTGGAGCACACATCAGCTGCACTAGCCTCAACAGCCGCAATGCAATCCGGATGAAACTGAACGGCCGGGCTGTCGACCAGGAGTTCCCAGTCCACAACGCATCCTTTCCCGCTGTCATTTTTCCCGATACGCTCAAACTCCTCCTCGCAGCGGCGGACCATTTCGCCCAACACTGCGTCCTCTACATGTCGCATATCAAGGGTGAACTTGACTGTGTGCGCCATTGTGTTGACGGTTCCTGGATCTGTGGTGAAGATGCCTGTCGTCGCGAGTCCATTAAACTCATGGGCAACAGCGTTGGCGGCAACGATAAGCTTGCTTGCACAGAGTACCGGATCCTTGCGCGCGTACAGCGGCGTTGTTCCGGCGTGGCTATCGCGACCCTTGACTGTGATGTTGAACCATTTGAAAGCTTGCACGCCTGTTTTTCAATTTTAGTACTCAGTCAGCACTTATAGCCATCACCAGGTCGGGGGTCTCACCTTGAACGACGCCAATCTTTTGCTTTTCATCTTCCAGAATAGGTCCCTGTTCGATGTGTAGCTCGAAGTGGGCAGCAAAAGGATTTGTGCGGTACGAAGCCGCGCGTTCACCGGTGTAACCAATTCTGTCGAGCTCCTCCTTCATGGATTTGGGTTGACAGTCGCGTGACGACACCTCCCTCAGGTCCCAGGCCGTTTGAAGTGGGATGGCTTCAGCCCAGACGCCTGAAGATACGGCCATTTTCGGGAACCGCGCACCCTCTTCGCTAGACTTAGTTAGTATTCAGTTGGGAGCGGACTTTGTGCATCCTAGCAGTAGACGTACTTTGTCCAATTGACGACGCCAACTGGCCCTTCTGTCTCGTACTCATTCTCGCTCAGGACTCGCAGCACCTCGAGACCAGAGATGACACCCAAGATGCCGTCGTAGCGACCGCCAGTAGGCTGCGTGTCAAGATGGGATCCCATCATGATTGGCGGTGCATCCTTGTTCTTTCCAGCACGGATTGCGAACAAGTTACCCATCTCATCGTAGAAGGTCTCACAGCCGAGCGACTTGGCGTGCTGCATGAACCAATCTCTTACTTGCTTGTCTGTGTCGTCAAGACTAAGTCGCGCCATACCGGTATCGATAGATGCTCTGTCATTGTGAGATTGTGTGCAAATTTGGGACATTATCTGGCAAGCTTACTTTCCATATCGATGTGCGGCGCCAAATTGGCAACTCTCATGGAGTAGTCCAGCCAAGCTCTCTTGACTGATTTTCAGTTGACTCGTGGTGCCCAGAGAACCCATGTTTTGCTTTCTTCCGTAAAGCCTTTTGCTAGTCGGTTAAGTAAGAATAAGTCGAGTAGAGTCCAATGAATGCAGCTAAAAGTGTATTGTCGAAATCGTTCATGGAGATTCATGGCATGAAGTGATATACCAACTCAAGCATGCTGAGATCGGCAAACAGCCAACGGCGTCTGGGGATGCCCCGCACGGGGCGATAGGACAACCCAATTGGGAAGTGATTATCCACCGACGGCGGACCACCGCCGTCGGCCGTCATCGGCCGTCGGTATTTACCCCGGCTGACCGCCGACAATGCGGGGCTAACTCTAGTTATCGGATAGCTTATCCCAGGTCAACGCAGTCGAGTAGCCAATGGCATCTTTGCCGGTTATCAGACCCGAGGTGGTATCTCTACAATCATTCGACTCATTCGACCCTGTTGGTCCATTGTCCGCCACGTCGGGGAAATGCAGTTATCAATCGAGTATATACAGCAGCCCATATCTCGTAAGGATGTTGCAATTGGTTTAAAGTCTCATGCATGGTCTGGTCAACTTGAGCATCGCTGCAAACCTCATAGCTTCGTACCATACCCGCCACGATGACCATCCCAGGCAAAGACTTGTCGAACAAGGATGTCGAGGTCCGGCAGCAAAATGATAGCAGCAGCCTCAATGCTGCGGAGATCGCAGTCGATCCCCAGGAACGAGCAGTATTGTCCAAGTTCGACAAGTTCGTGATGCCGCAGATGGCGCTGCTCGTCCTGTTCGCTTACCTTGACCGAACAAACATCGGTTTGCAACTCCACCCATGTCTCCTCATTGACGCACTGACTGACAGATCTTAGGCAATGCTCGCGTGTTTGGTTTGGAAGAAGACACGGGTATGAAAGGCACCGACTTCAACGACATCTCCATGTACTTCTACATCTCCTATGTGGTCTTCGAGACGCCCTGGGTTATGGCCGTAAAGAGGCTGGGTCCAGGTCGCGTTCTTGCCATCGCGATCGTCAGCTGGAGCGCCATCACCATCGGTACAGGTTTCATCAACAGCTACGGTGAAGCCATCGCCTTGCGAGTTCTTCTCGGCTTCTTCGAGGCCGGCCTGTTCCCCGCCTTGATCTACGTCATATCAGAAATCTATCCTCCAGCGTCCCAGGGCAAGCGTGTGGCAGTGCTCTACATCACCATCGCGCTGTCCGGTGCACTGGGCGGGTTATTCGCATATGGTGTCCAAAGCATGGGCGCACGCCACGGACTTTCTGCCTGGAGGTGGTTGTTCATTGTCGAGGGTACAATTTCGCTGGTCATAGGTGTCATTTGCTGGGTCAGTTTGCCGACCTCGCCAGAGACAGCTTGGTTCTTGAAGGACGAGGAGAAAGCTGTCATGATGCGCATCAAGCAACGAGATCAGATGTCTAAAGAGAAGACCTCGTTTTCCTGGCCACAGGTTGTCATGGCCATTACGGACCCCTTCGTCTATCTCGCTTCCGTGGCACTGTTCTGCTCCTCAATTGCCCTCTTTGGTTTTGGCACATTTCTTCCCACTTTGCTGAAGGGTCTCGGGTAAGTTTCAGGACATCCCAATGTTGAACATTCGCTGACTATCTCTAGGTATACTTCTCTTCAGGCGAATTACTTGAGCATCCCGGTATATATCCTTGCATCCATCTCAACCGCGATCACAACATTTGTTTCCGACAGAATCAACCGCCGTGCTGTCTGTCTCATACACTCCCCCGCATTGGTCATTTGCGGGTATGCCATTGCGGTTGGCACCGGCAACAAAGCCGCTGGATTCTTTGCCATGTTCCTGGTGGGCGCTGGTGTTTACTCCTTCAATACTGTCCTCGTCACGTAAGTCACCTTCTTGGAGAGTATGATGTATATGCTGACCCCTTCTAGCTGGGTTTCGAACAACATTCAACCCGACTACAAGCGCTCCGTTTCGATTGCCATGCTCATCTCTCTGGCAAACGCTTCTGGCATGGCCGCATCCCAGATTTACCCCTCATACGATGCCCCTAGGTACATCATGGGTAATGCGGTGTCTCTTGGAGGAGAGGTTATCGCGTTGATTTGTATTGGTTTGATATACGCTCTTCTGAAATGGCGTATGCGCCGGAAAGAGCGCCTGCTGGCCGAGGGGAAGGACAGCAACGGTAAGAATGGCGATCAAGCATTGCACTTCCAATACGTGTTCTGAAAGCAGCTGAATTGCCTTGAAGGACACTTCAAGCCATAAATAGATTAAATCAAGGGGATGCGGAGCTACGTACGGGAAATTTATAGGTCCTTGAATGCTAGTGTGCCGTTCCACGTTATTAAGACGCAAGCTCTCGAAGGCCTTTCCAGTAAATTGCGTCCACCTTCACAATAGCAAATCTCAAGAATTGCCACGACTGTACTCTTGTCCGCAAAGCTTTTCTCCAAGTATCAAGTAAAGCCCGATCAAATGACAGCATGTGCGGCTCGCTTTGCTGTAGCGACAGCATGTAGCAAAACAGTCCTGGGTATGACAGACAGTGTCTGGTGTAAGCCGGCCAAAAGCCGGACTGATGTCTTACATCGAGCCCGCAGATGAATTTCGTTATGGTCTGCACCAAGCTTCGTGAAGCCTGGAGGATAGAGCTTGAGGATGCTGGTAGCAGACTCGGGTTGATGTCGGTGCTTATGATGGGGCGCAATAGGGCGCGAAAGATGAGAATATGAAGGGTATAGTACGTAACGTATAACGGAGCATGACTTTCTATACTGTGCTCTGCAGACGGCTCTGTTTGTGGGTGTAATTGGAGAGATGCAGGTAATTGGTCCAGCCAGTCCAGGAGTTGTTGCCGAGGGCCACGTGCTTGAGAAATCAAGGTCTCTAGTGTTGGGCATTGCGATATTGCGCGAAGAGTGCTGAAACTGTTAGCCGCATCATTGCCTTGGGACGAGGAAACTCACAAGAATAGCCGGCATGTTTCATCGGCGATCCTAGTTAATGAGCAGAGGTGTATGATGTAGTCTGATGACTGACATCCACCAGGGAGTGTCCGTGTTGCAAGGTCAACGGCAAAATCATCCACGGTGAGAGACGATACGTCCCAGTCATCTTGTCTTATCATGGACGACCGACCATGAGTGACAGACCTCCAAGTATGCTCAATATAAACAGACCACCACAGTCTTCTTCGCAGCCTTATCTCCCAAGATGGCAGGTTCCAGCCTTTGGGATCTACATTGAGACCTAACGACTGCGCCATCCCGAGCAATGAAGCAGCCATAGACCAAGCAGAGGGGTTCTCGACTGAGACGGAATCAAAAGATACCTGATTTAGTAACAAGAGGAAGATCTGAACGGTCGAGAGTCGCGGGAAGTGCAACTCCCTCTGAAGACAGACGTATGAGATTTGCCATAGCGCATCAACGCTAGGTTTCGTATACGCATTGTTCATACACAGCGTCTCATCCCATGGTGTGAAGGGCAAAGCCAGCATGTAGATTCCCGCCAACAGCCCTGTTGATGCCTCTGCAACAAATTTGTCTACATCTGGAAGAACACGTGACCGAGAGAGGATCGGCAATGCTTCGAAGACAAATCTGAAATATCTGTGAAGAGTCAGTCCGCCCATATCATTGTGAGAGTCAAAGAGGTGGCTTACAGCCTGACTAGTGAGGCTCCAGTGACCTTGTCGACGATATTTTCCAATCTCTCCCGCTCATCCACTTTGGGGAGACACTCGTCAAGAACTCTTTGCGATTCAGCGGCTGTTCCAGTCTGGCTTTGCAAGAAGTGAAGTGGCTGGCCCTTGTCCCCAGTGACCTTTCGGTAAGTGACTCTGAAGAAGTCGATCTCGTCTTGATCATTGTGAGGAAAATGATTTACCAAGAATGGATCAGATTCGTTCGAATGTCCGATTAATGTGGTGGAGTGATTTGGACGTTCGTCTAATGAACTTCTTTCGTGAACATACTCCATGTCTGGGAGTTTCATGGCCGCATGTGTTGCAGGTTGCAAAGCCCCTTCGTCGCTAGGAATTAAATTATTTTCTTGGGGCTGTAAGAATGCAGCCGGTGAGCCTCGAAACTCCAGATTCTGTGCCAATTGGTCGTTTCCTAGATCCCAGTCCAAGGGGCTGTTACTAGGCCAGATAAACTCTGAGACGGCATGTTGGTCCTCAGCAGCATTATCTGCAAGATGATCAGCAAATTTGGCGGCGTATTTATTTGTTTGGTAAAGGTACTTGTCGCATTTAACATGTCTTGCTGTGCTTCCAACATGAGACCCGGGGATAAAGTCATCACATTCTCAGTGGGTGATTGGCTTTGTGGTCCGGAAACAGACGCGGGAGAGACAGCTTGACGGCCCTTTGGCCTCCTGCCGGGGTTACCAACAAAGGTGCATTCCCGGCCTATTCTCTTGCATAGCTGGCAGGGCTGCAACGGGTCCGGAATGTTGCACAGGGCCTTGCGTGCGCGACATAGGTCGCATGGTCGCTGTGCCTTGGACCGATAGCGTCTTGTCCCCGCTACTGTGGGATCTGTGGCTGCCGAAGATGCACTCATGATACAAAAAGAATGACTGGGGAACTCATTCCGAAGATCGGCTCAAATGATGCAAGGAAAATAGCGCAAGATAGTGTCAGCGGATGATTGTTGATCCTATTCCAGGCAGTCAGTCGTCTTCTTCATCGCAACAACAAAGTCTCGTTGGAAGACGGCTGTTGAAGTATGATGGCATCGTCTCTATCTCAGCACGGTTGGCTAGCTATGAGGACGGCAACTTAAGAAAAGGCTCCGGGCAACTTTCGCAACTCAAACTCAATCCAAGACACAGTGTCCAATTACCCCTGACACTATGCGGACATCTTACCCCCACGTCCGGCTTCATCCCGGGACCTCTACACAAATTTCGTCTAGACCTGTCATGAATTTACACCAGTATTTGAGTTGAGGCGGTTGATTTTGTGGAAAAGGGATATAGAAACTGATTGATGTTTTTGGTTCATCTCAGTCGAATGGCACCTTGTTCACAGCAGATGGAAATCTTCATATGTCACACCAGGCGAGGTGCTTGATGAGGCCTCTTCTGATATTTCCCACTTAAAAAGCAGATTTGAGCTGGCAGCACACCAGGCTGCCAGATATGTATGTATTGATGTTTTGATTCTTTGTACAAGATTGAAAATAAAGGTTTCCCTCAACTGAAGCCCTGCTCCCGCAATGCATTGCAGGGCTGCCTCACTCAAAGAGCGTTACTGCACTCGGCCCTACAACTTTCAGACCGCTTAGGAGCTAGTCATAGCAGGGACGGTGATCTTCTCGATGGTCCACTAAAATAGATCAGTACTTGGTTCAACACATTCTTTCCGTGTGCAACATACCGTCTTGCCGCCGTCAGCAGTAGCAATGCCAGAGTACGTGGCTCCGGACTCGGTGTAAGCGCCGTCCTTGTAGGCAGCATCCTTCTCGGCGAAGACAATGGTGGTGTTGGTGTAGTATTGGGGCTCAATGGTTCCCTTAGGCGCAGCTCCGTTGTTATCCTGCAGCTCAATGGCCGTGTTCCATAGAGTCATCTTTCCGGACTTCTTCTGGTACGTAGACAGAAGTTCGCCGGTGACGGCGTCAGTCATGGTCTGCTCCCAGAGGTAGGTGGACTTGTCGATGAGGGTGTAGTTGAAGATGATGCCGTTCTCGTAGTTGGTGTCGGCGGTTCTCTTGTCTCCGACGAACTGGACAGTCGCGCCGGTGTTGTCGAGGCCGTAGACCTCGGAGGAGATGCACCAGGTGGAGTCGGCCGCGGAGCCGGTGCATTCACTCATGCCAGCGGGGTACGAACCGACGATGCTCTGGATCAGATCACCGGTCTCAGCACCAATGCCGATCCAGGCGAACATGTAACCCTTCTGGCCGGACGGCATCTTGCCGGGGTAGATGGTGCTAACGGTGCTGATGATCTCGGAGGTCGTGGCCTGGAAGCCAGCGATGGGACCCCAAGTAACATCGCGCTTGTTCAGGAGGGGGTTGGCAGTGGCAGTAGAGCCGATCAGCGCCAGGCTGAGGAAGAAAGACTTGGGGACAATCATCGTGAAGGTGGGTCTCGTCAAGGGAGGAAGTGAACGTAGGTAGTTGGAATAAAGGAGTGTGGCGGCTCTTGGTGGCCAAAGGTGTGGTTGAATTGAGAAGGCTGAATGGAATTGATGCTTAGTATATGTTCAAGCCCAAAAGTCGTTCCGACGACGATCTTTTGCTGTCTATTTGAGTCAATTACAACATCTCTCTATCTGCAACTTCAACCCGCCCAACTCGCAACTTGCGCGCAACTCAGAACCGCAACTGACCCAATGATCGGCACACCGGCAACGAACCCCAGTTATTTCCCTTCAATCTCCCACTCTGGGTTCGCACCTGGCCCTGTTCAAATAGAGTGGGCTTCCGCATTTCGTGAGCTTGATTGTCGTTCTCAATTTATTTTAATTTAAACCCTTGTGCATCTCAGGGGTAGCTTTGTGGGTGGGACGGAAGGTGGGGTGACAAAACAAGAGTGCACCGTCGGCGTGGTTTCTCGGACTCGGTCTAGACGCCGACATTCCCCGTGGAGATTGCTATTTGCCAGCCCGCGATAAGAAAGTTGGCTGTTCGTAAGAACTCTTCAGTGATGTTTTTTCTTTTTCTTTTTGCCAGCTTTGGGCTATGGAGAAGAGGAATCTGAGCGCAAACTCGATCAGCAGCGGTGGTCTTTGTATCAGCTGTGCAAATACGAGCCTAGCCACAGTTCCCGCTCTGCGATGAAGCGTGAGCCTCTCAACCTGACCTTGTGGAGCGCGGCGAGACTTTCCGTATTCCTTACGAACAGAGTTCGGAAAGTGGACGCAAATGTCGACATTCTTATGATATGGCATTCCCCGTATCAAAACCGTCAGCAGAATCTGATTCCCATACTCCCCTGCCCAAAAGTTCGGACTGGCCCCAACGTGTTCTCAACCCTTGTGTTCCTTTCTACCTAGTTCAAGATCTTGATACAGTGAAGATGATGGCACTGTGATCAACTTTTCAGCTCGTCTGGCGGGAAGTCGAGTACTAGTTAGATCGGAAACCCAATCCCGTGTCCATTTTGGAGCCACAGTCGGACTATGCAATCTTGTTGTGTTCTTTTTGCTCCGATATTCAAGTAGAAACAGAATTAGCACCGACCAGGTACAGTTCTGATACTTGAAGGACTGCAGCGGTCACCCTTGTTTTGAATTAAGCATCCAAGAGTTCTGGAACGTACGGAAATAATAATTCTACAACTAATCAACGCCTGTAGAATTAATCAGCCAATTGCCATTCCCTTCGCAAACATACCAGTTACAATTGCAGGATAAACCGGGTGCCGGATGCAACGAATGTAGCAAGCATAAAGCGCGCCATCGGCATTCAACAATTAGGCAAATTCCTAGTATCAACTCAACAACTCGTCGAAATCTGCCTACACATTGTCGGGTCGTGGAAGGAAAACCATCTCTACCATAAGAGATCTGCTTCACCGGGAACTTCAATAGAGTCCTCCACATCTTCCAACTCTAGTATGCTATCGTTCGGGAGCCATCGGTGCACATGAAGACTTGTCGAAGGGTTTGTGAGCAGTACTTTGAGAATGAGTCCAGGTCGACGATTGTTCATTTCGTTCAGTAGATTTCGGAAGAAGGCCACAAAGTCGCCGAAGTCATGAGCTTGCGACCCTTCCTCCATCCATGAAACCCCATCCACCAGGACAAATACTGCCCTGCCAGTTGCGGCCGACAGCAGTAGGCGGAACAGATAGCGAAGTACGTCTGCGTTTCGTTCTTTGATGCCGTCTACGAACTTGTAATCGATTCCGGAGAGATTGACGTCTTCTTGATCGAGGGCATGTGCAAGTTGAGAGTTCAGAGAGCGGATCATCCCAATGGATCCCCCATGAGTGCCATTAGGCGAGCTATGCTGGCCGCAGAGGTGGAGCAAAGACAAGTTTCTCTCTGATTGCTTTGTGACGCTTTGTGCCAGAACACAAGATAGTATTGTGAATGGTGACGTAACTTCCTGTTCTGTGTTGAGTTGCATTCTCCCATTGATGAAGAGCATTTCCGACATGTTGGATTGCAGCCACCTGGCAAACCTCTCGTTTTGTAGAACCCCTAGGGCAAGATTGACCAGCTTTGGGGGGCACACGTTCTGAGCATCAATAAGTGCTGTGTCCATGTCTTTTCGGACCATTTGTGGGTCAACGCCGATCGTGGCCCGAAGCTCGTTGAGATTGATGTACGACTTGAACAGGACAACTGCTTGCGGATTGTCTAATTTATCATATTGTGAGCTTTAGGTCTTCCGATATAATTGCTTCCGAATGATGACATACCGATGGTCCATTGTGAATGTGCCAGAAGGCTGTTCAGCTGTGTCTGAAGAGTCTGGATAGTCTTGTATTGCTGCCCCACCCTTCTGTGCAAGTTAACTTGCATAACTTCGCGAAACCGAACGACCTTGTCCTCGATGTTTTTCTTGATCGTGTCCTCCTCCAAACTTGCCCCAAATGTTGCAGGCAGTGCCAATGCTTTGAAGGCGCGCTCTAAAAAGCCCGTGGTTAGCAGTTTGTTCTTCTTTAATACAAATGAAGTGTGAGTACCAAAGGCCGACTTATCAATCCATTGCAGCATTCCCTCCACGCCATCAAGAATACCTATATAGAGACTCTCCGCGGCATTCCAGACCTCCGGATCCTCGTCGTATATATCGACGTAGTTTTCTGTCCGCTCTACGATCTCAGGCAAACTGTCGAGACAATCTAGGATCCTCGTTCTCACTTCATCAAGTCTCTTAGCCGCCTATGAAACTGGTTAGACTATTTTTCAACAGCTCCATGAGACAGCAAACCTAGGGGACGTACTGAAAAGATGAATGTCAACGCCCCACAGAGAATACCAACGAGACCATCATTGGGTAGAAAGCTCAGGAGCACCTCCAGGTTGCATGCGCTTCGCTGAAGTGATCGTCCTGCGGCCCTGAATGGATTTTTTCGCCATTTTGTCTTCTCTGCGTCCTTCTCAACTGCGTCCGAAGCCATTATTTTCACATCATCCCATCGATGTTGACCGTCGATGCGGAATCTCTTGAGGTCGTCGCGCTTTGTGTGCTCCTGGAATTTGGTAACAACGCTCCAGAATGAGTTTGTTCGCTCACGAACTCTGGTACTTACTATTAGTTACAACTATCATGTTTGAAGCACAGCGGAGTTGATATATCACTGACCTCTTTGACGCTTGTTTTTGCCTTCGCTTCTCGTCAAACTTATTCGTGGCCGAGATTTGCCAACTCGAATCTATTTCGGGGGCTTTTCTCATCATGAACGCGTCTACATGTTCTGTCATAATGTTGAGAAGACTGATGACGATCTGTAAGATGTGCCCTTGCTGACGGTTTCGTTAGGTTAGGATGAGGGTGTAGCTTAGACAAGAGATCATCGGCGATGCGGTCGGCATATAGCTGCTAACGATGGGTTGATAAGGCTTTGAGTGCTGCTGACGCGCTTGAAATTGGAAGGATGAGGTGTACTGCATAATATATGCAGATCATTAGGACCACTAGGCAAGATGGGCAACGAAATCGAATGTTACCTGCAAACTGCAGCGGCCTAATTACCTGCCTGCTTAATTGGCTGCTTCTGGCCACCGCATCACCACCCCCTGCAGTAAGCAGCGACTTTGGCGCAGCTGAACCGGCACCATGTTCTAGAGTGCCAAGCAAATGAGGGGAAAGCGCTTATTCTGGTGTGGCAGACCAGGCTGCGTGGTTTTCGACCACAGAGCCCGAATGACCTTGATAGAATAGCCACAAGAAATCGCATTCCGACCTTCTCATTCTTCCAACTCAATCAGCTTTGGGTGAAATATCTCATACGCAACAGGTATAAAGCCCACCATACGATATCGCGACTTCATCCATATCCGTGGCGACTTAATCTGCTCGTCTCCTACATTGAAACATGATGGCCTCCCCGTCTGTCGACGATGACAGTCCATCGGGCCCGACGACCGAACAACCCGCTTTTGCTTTGACAGCAGAATCCAGTCTCATCTCCGAAGGTAACACCAGAGCGGACTTGGAAAGCAAAGTAAGAACTCCGTCTACTTCTCATGTGAGACACAACGATTTATTTCAACAAAGTATGTCGCTGAAAAATATAGCAGCAGAAAATTGACAACTCGGTCAATCATGACGAACCTGAGCGGTTGGTGTTGGCCGACACGGAAGACAGAGATGAAAGCATGCCGGGCGACGCACCCGTACCCCCCAGTGATGACGACAACGAGAGCGTGAATTCAGCTGTTGGGAACGAACATATAACGCTCAGATTGAGAAAAGTTGCTAGCAAATGGCGAATCCACAAGAATGCCATTACCCGCGCGAAACCACCACCACCTGGTGGTGGCCCCCCGCCCCCGCCGCCCGACCCCGACTTCACAAACATAAAAGCATTGCGAGATCATGTCACTATGATGGAATGGGTCTCGGGGTTGTTGGAGGACGCGCCATCTGTGGCTTCAACGGTTTCAAGCTATGACGAAGAAAGAATGAAGTGTATCCCAGAGCTGAGGGGCCTTAGCTTGTTTCGCTGGAACCGCCCGCCACCTCCACCACCCCCGCCAGGCTGGAAGATTCCAATCTCGAGAGATTTAGACTACGCCATTGTCTACTTGGCAGCCGAGCCACAGGGATCTCAACGTTACAGTGCTTTCCCCAGAGCAGATGCTGATGATGAAGAAGTAGTATCCTCCGCAGCCATGGCTGAGACACCGCGTCCGTACGGAATTCAGCATCTTCCACCACAGATTCGCATTTATTCTTTGGCCGTGAGAAGGATCTTGACAAGACTCACTGACGGTAAGCTTGGTAACAACGGAGTGGGCGGCTATACCACAATCTTTCGACCTTACAAAGTTCTGGTCTACCACGAGCAGGCTATCCGGGAACAACTTGAGTTGTTGAGAAGTCTTTGCCTCGCAGGTGACCAGATAGCTGGTGAGGATTGTCTGAGTCCACAACATGACACAGTGGAAGTAGAGGTCTCAGATGACACGGAGAAAGACGTTGAGCCCCAAGACGGTTTGAAAGATCAGTTCGATACCCATGGACAAGACAACCAAAGCGATGCCGGAAGCAACAGCTTGAGCACAGCGACGGGCAAGTCTGAGCAGCGAACGAGGTCTGGTCTGAACGAAGATCTTCTTTTCACGCAGGCAAATTGGCATCGTCATTCCCACGAAGAGTTGCTAGAGGCCCAAGCAGACTGGAACGTTTTGGTGGGTTTCATGGATAAATATATCTTCCTCCTTCGCGAAGCTCTAAGAGACCGGGACGACATGCGAGTGCGGTTCTTCGAGCTATGGCATCTGTTTGTCCCCGGAGACATGGTATACGTCAAGGATCCCAATACCTCCCAGAAGCTATGGCGCGTCGTCCAAGGATCAGGAGGGGCTCCTTCGCCAGTGTTCCTACCGAGTTCCAAAAATGGGACCCATCTCGACTATCTAAAGCTCGGGGGCACGGCAGGCACTTCCAAGCTAAGTCCCTTCACGTTGGATTGTTATTATGTGGACTTCGACGGCACTCATTTTGTTCGAGTGCTTAAAAGGTTTCAGATTGAGGATTTCAAAGATCTGGCAAGTATCAAGAGCCTTCCGATTTTGCCTCTCTCGGTTGCTGAGCGTGAGGGGATGGTAGACACTGAACGTGTCAGGCGTAGAGGGTCAACCTTCATCTCGTACACTCAGCCAACCTACTGTTACTACAGAGGCCGAAGTCTCGGTCACGAGCCCGAGGGCGGTGTTCTTCGACGGCCAGAGCGAGGAAATTTCAGCTCAGGGGCGATGCTTTCGGAAATCATTGAAAGCCCAGTTGTCATCGATTTCGAACGCTGCTTGCAAACAATACCTGATTGGAAGCCCTGCAGAACGCCCAGAGAGCTTTCTGTGCCTTTCAAAGAGGCAGCGGTTCCCAATCCTTTGTACGATGACGATCGCGGATGGGATTTACGCATGGCTGAGGACGTTCTCAACTACACCGATCATTCCCAAACGCTTGAATGGAATAGCCGCTCACCACCCACCGGAGATGAAGTCCTCTTGCTACCTGATCGGGTCTTTGCATACATTTTGCGCACTCGTCGCTGGGGTAAGTATCCGCAACGTCCACAGATAATCAGGGGTTTACTAACTTTTTATCGCAGCCTGTCTCCCCCTCAGCTCTGGAGACCTCGACCTAGAAGAAAACAGCTTAACCCTCATGGAGAGGGATGCTTCGGCATGGAGCTATCTCCAGATCGACGAAAGACACAAGACAATCATCAAGTCGATGATGGAAACACATTTTCGGAAGAAGAAAACAGAGAGGCGGCAATTCGACATCATCAGAGACAAGGGAAAGGGACTTATAGTGCTTTTGCATGGCGTCCCGGGAGTCGGAAAAACCTCGACTGCAGGTGAGTGATTGCGATCCAACACACGCTTTCAAGACGGTTCAGCTGACAGCTGGCGATTCTAGAAACTGTTGCTCAGTTCTACAACAAGCCACTTTTGCCAATCACTTGCGGTAAGATTACGATAGGAGGAAGACACTAGAAGTACTCTAACGAAGACCTAGGTGATCTTGGAATGACCCCTGCCGACGTGGAAGCCAATCTTCAGTCCTCGTTCCAGCTAGCTCAAGCTTGGGAGTGTGTTCTGTTGCTCGACGAAGCAGATGTGTTTCTCGCTGAGCGCAGTCAAGATAGCATCGAGAGAAATGCTCTTGTATCGGGTAAGTCATTTGACAATCCAAACCGCAATCATTTGGATCCAATGTCAGGTGTACTGATTTTTCCAAGTCTTTTTACGGGTCTTGGAGTACTATGAAGGCATTCTTTTCCTCACTACGAACAAAGTAGGCTCTTTCGACGAAGCCTTCAAATCCCGTATGTCAATGGCCTTGTACTACCCTCCTCTCAGCCAATCACAGACCGAAAAGATTTGGGAGGTCCAAATGAAGCGAACCGAGGAGCTTTCTATCAAGGCCGCACCTGATGACGAGTCTCAACATGTCAGGTTTGATACCGATGACGTGATAGTCTACTCCAGAGAGCTGTGGTCGGAACAACAGCGAGTACCTGAGTTCAGACCTGTGTGGAATGGGCGCCAAATCCGTAACGCTTTCCAGACTGCTGTGGCATTGGCGGAGTGGCACCAGCACGAGCAGAAGAAGTCGCAGCCGATATATGTCACGAGAGAACATTTCAGGAGGGTTGCTGCTGTTTCGAACCAGTTCAATGCATATCTTTGGGAGGTCAAGCACAGTCGCGGAGATGATACATTGACGTGGAAGAAAGGTCATCGGGCTGACCATATTGATCCTTACCAATTTGCACAGGGCAATTCCGGTTATGGATATCAGCAACAGCAGTCCGGCACCGGTCCATGGGGTAACTCTCAATCATCTAACATGGCGGCCTTTGGTGGACAATCTGGGATGGGTATGGGAGGTTCCGGATATGGTGCAGTTAATACGCAAGGCCAGAACAACTTTGGGAATAACTGGCAGGCCAATTCTGGCGGAGTCGGGAATTCGGGATCGGGGAACGCCGGTATGTACAACGTTGGTGTCGGCAACTCGATGGGCGGCTCTTCCATGATGACCCAGGGCATGGGTGGCCAGAGCATGGGCAACCAGTCCATGGGTAACCAGCCTATGGGTACCCAAGCCATGGGTAACCAAGCCATGGGTTTCCCAGGAGCAGGTGCTCAAGGCATGGTTGCTAACATGCATCCCGGTGCATCTAATTTCCAAGGCATTCCTGGTCAGAACGTGCCGGGCCAAAATATGCCGGGCCAACAATGACGGTCGAGGTCACCGTCTATCGTTGTACGAAGACATCCCGAGCTCTTGATAACATTAGCCCGGTACTCAGGTTGTAAAGAGGCACGAGGTAGATATTGGAGATACACGTCGATAGCAAATTGCCTTTATATTGTCGATCATAGTAACAAACACGAGCTTTGTTGAATCTTTAAATTGAGGTGATGTTCCTTCCCTTCGGTGAGAAAAACGACTGGAAAGCAGGGTTCTAGACATCGCATAAGATCACACGAATGGAAATTGCATGACTTCGCCGTATATCTTGAAGAGTCACTTTCATAGACTAGAATTGAAGATTCTCTCCGGTGCTTGCTATGCATAACGTCGTATTCTCGGTTGCCTGAACAAGTTTGGATAAACAGCGCCAACCACTCCCGAGCGAAAAGTCCCCCGGCTGCGGTTACACCCGCCAAGTCATAAGTAAATTGTGAGGGCAAAAGTCGGCCGGGGTATTCATGCAGTCATCATTCGAGATTGATTCTCTGAAGGCTTCGGACTTGAGGTCTGAATTGGGCATACACGTACATATCTACCCCTCTTCAAGGTCGTAGCATGGGCCTCAATTCCGTAGTACAAAAGAAGCTTCGGGTTCCGGCGCAGTGGTAGACAGAAAATGATGAAGAAGCTCTAGAGAGCATCGTGTGCCAGAACCGCCATCATGTTCCCCCACCACACCATCCTAGGCATCGCCGCCCTGCTCCTCACCATCACCACCCCCGTCACTGCCAAACCCCCCGCCAACAACACATACGACTACATCGTCATCGGAAGCGGCCCCGGCGGCGGCCCCCTCGCAAGCAACCTCGCGCGCGCCGGCTTCTCAACCCTGCTTCTCGAAGCGGGCGACGATGACAGCCACGACATCGGCACCACCCTCGCGAACGGCGGGTACGCCCTCACCGCCTCTAACAGCTGGGGCTTCTGGGTGCGGCACCACGCTGACCCGGCCGTCGAGCTGCGCAACAACCACCTCACGTGGCGCTTCCCGAACGGAACGTTCTGGGTCGGCAGCGGGGCGCGGGCGCCGCCCGGCGCGGAGCTGATGGGCGTTTACTACCCGCGCGGCGCGACGATCGGGGGCTCGGCGGTGGTGAATGCGATGGGGACGCTGTTGCCGAGCGATGGGGATTGGGATTATGTGGCGAATATCACGGGCGATGAGTCTTGGGGGTAATGTTTTCATCGGGCGATGAGAGGAGAGAGGTGGAGCTAACGAGATGCAGGCACAAGAACATGAGGCGGATGTTTGAGAAGGTTGAGAAGAACAATTATCTGCCTGAAGGCACGCCTGGGCATGGGTTCAACGGCATTCTGGAGACCAATATGGGAAACGGCACGCAGTATCTTCCTTACCCGGGTTTGGTCGAGGTGTACAAGTCGCAGATTAGGTCACTTGGATTGGATCCCGAGAAGGTGATTGAGTTGCTCGGCAGCGATCCCAATTATCTCGCTGATGATCGGGACACCACGGAGGGTTTTTGGGGCATGGTGTTTCACGCAAGCGCAAGGTGGGAGAGGTCGACCCCGCGAGACTACATCTCTGAGACGATTGCGGCGAAGAATGACGACGGGTCAGCCAAGTACCCCCTCACACTATCGCCAAACTCTTTGGCCACCAAGATATTGTTTAAGGAAGGGGAAGACGAGAAACCGAAGGCGGTCGGAGTCGAATATCTCAAAGGCCCTTCAACATATGGTGCTGACCCGAGGCGGAACGCTTCCGCGACAGGCGAGAACAAACAAGCTTTCGCATCACGCGAAGTCATTGTTTCGGCAGGCACCTTTAACTCCCCACAACTCCTGCAGCTCAGCGGGATCGGCAACCGACAAGATCTTGAGGCGCTCGGCATCAAAGTTGTGGCCGACTTGCCCGGCGTGGGGCGAAATCTTCGGGATAATCAAGAATTTCCGGTCGTCGGACTAGCCCAGACCAACTTCACGGCGACACCCAACCCCAACGAGCCGACTTGCGCAAAAGGCATGCCGAATGACCCGTGCTACGAGCTCTGGAAGCAAGGTCTGGGTCCGTACATGCGACCTGGGTTCAACTCCAATGTCCTTCTGATGCGGTCAAATCATTCAGTCAATGGCGAGCGCGATGTTTTCGTGTTCAGCGTACAAGGCGGCGCGTTCCGAGGTTTCTGGCCGGATGTCAATCAGCCCGAGCTCTTTGGGACGCCAAATACATCAGGCTTCTCGACAGTTAAGATCAACCCGCAAAACGGGGCGGGATACCTGAAGCTCCGGTCGGCGGACCCGACGGAGCCACCCGAGATCAACTTCCAGCTGTACGAGGAGGGTGCCGAGACAGACCTCGGAGCGTTGGCAGATGTTGCCGCGTGGGGTCGCCGGGTGATGAGCGATGTTGAGGGGCCTTGGGGTCCGCTGGAGCCGGCTGAACCGCCGTGCTCGAAAGTCGGGAGCGAAGGCCGGTGCGAGGACGGAGACGGAACGTCGGACAAGGAATGGATCCGGGCCCAGACATTTGGCCATCATCCGTCGGGGACTTGCGCCGTTGGGCCGGCGGAGGATAGCATGGCAGTGCTGGATTCTCGGTTTCGGGTGCACGGCGTCGAGGGGTTGAGGGTTGTGGATGCGAGCGTATTTCCACGTGCTCCGGGCGCGTTTCCCTTGATCGCGACGTTCATGGTCAGCCAAAAGGCGTCGGAGGTGATATTGGAAGATGCCGCGGCGTCATTTTGAATGTGTGGTCGTTGCAGAGAGAGATGGGACGAGCTAGAGATGGTCAAACGAAGGCAGAGTTCTTCCGTGCAGTTTAGGGTGCCGGTCGGTGTACGAGCCACAAGCCACGTCGCCCTGATGTCGCGTCGCAATCACGGCAAACCGGGTGTGTCAGGCGTATTCAAGCGTGTCGTATCCTACGCGGACTGGGTTGAGGGCAATGGCACGATGGGCCATCGTCCCAAGACCAGACCAGATGAAAGGGCGTCTGATGTTGCGGCATGTTCCAGTAGATGGGATATGTGAAAGAAATGCATGTGAAAGTATTCTGTCTCGCGAATTTGGTGGAGATGTACGTGGCTGAGGTGTGGCTCTGTTAGCGGGGCTAACTGTGGCCCGTGCTTGATGTGCCGCCACAGCCACCCCCACCCCTGGCACGAGCTCCTCACAGTCGCGGGCGATGACGTTTGGCAGTCGCCCCCTTCGCTCGGAGGTCTTGCTGTGCTTGCTCTGCCCAGCATTGGACCCCGAGTGGCCCCTGCTCCTCGCTTTCCCGCCATTGCAGCAGCAGCAGTGGTCGCCCCTGCCCCTTCCCCGGCACACTGAGGACTAAGGTAGGTGAGAATGACGGGTCGCCCCTCCCTCAACAGGGCGCTGCGGCGTCAAGCATCGTCACTGCTGGTGAGAGGCCGCCCCCTTCCCTTACCCTTCCATCGCCTTCTGCCTCCTGTTTTCCTGGGATTTGCCTTGGCTAAAAGGTAAAGCGCGTCCTTGTGACCCTTCGTCTGATCTTGATTTCTCTCCAACTTTCCCATACTCGAGAACTCGACACGTCGTCATAAAAAGCCCATCCATTCACGCGTCTCCCAACGTCGAGTCTACGATTATTCTTCCTTTGACCGCCTGATTCAACACAAATCCACTGTGAGACAGCACCCATATACATCCCTTGTTTGATACCCGCTCCCGTCTCCAGTTACCCCTCACAAACCACAAAGCTCCCTCCTACAACTTCTTTGTTTCCCAACACCACACCGACTCCAAGCCAAAAACTACAAGCATCATGTCCAACACCACCGTCCACGTCAAGAACATCGCTGCGGCGACCGAGGATAAGGAGATCAAGGACTTCTTCAGCTTCTGGTGAGTACATTTCCCCGCACCTTCGAATCCCGTGAAGGCACCCAGATGGCCTGACGTCTGGGTCCCGCGGACGCATGCCGCATCCCCTCTTCGGACAGAAGCTAACAGACTGCAGCGGCAAGATCACAGACATTCAGGTCACCCCCGCGGGCGAGACCAAGGATGCCGCCGTCACTTTCGAGAAGGAGACCGCTGCTAAGACTGCCCTCCTGTTGAACAACACTCAGCTTGGCACCTCCCACATCACCGTTGCCAGCGCCAGCGGCGACTCCAACGACGACGGATCCCACTTCAAGGACAACGCGAACCGTGATACCGACGAGATCACCCAGGAGGAGAAGCCCCGCTCTCGCATCTTGGCCGAGTACCTCGCCCAAGGCTACGTCGTTGGCGACGCCGCTCTCCAGCGCGCCATCGAGCTTGACACCCAGCACGGCGTCTCCAGCCGCTTCTTCGGCACTCTCCAGAACCTCGACCAGAAGTACCACGCCACCGACCGCGCGAAGGCTACGGACCAGTCCTACGGCATCACCGCAAGGGCTCAGGGTCTCTTTGGCGGCTTGAGCTCGTACTTTGAGAAGGCTACCAGCTCCCCCACCGGCAAGCGCATCGTCACCTTCTACCAGGATGGCTCGAGACAGGTTCAGGATATCCACACTGAGGCCCGCCGCCTGGCGGACTTGAAGAAGGAGCAGCACGGCGGCAGCGCCTACAAGGCTTCTGGCCTTGAGAGATTCCTTGGTAAGGAGAAGGAGAAGGAGGTGCCGCCTGCCACTGGCGAGACCATTGGTACTCAGGCCCCGACCCAGCCCGACCCTACGACGGCTGTCCCCCTCTCCAAGCCCACCGAGGCCACTAGCGAGAAGACTGCGTAAAAGTGGCGATTGGTACGAAAAGGACATGAGGGTAGGCGTTAGTTGGTTTCATTAGGCACGAACGTTTCATGACTGCAATGCGATGACTGCGGTACACGTGGTTCTATTAGGCACTCTAGGTAGCTACGACTTCAATGCAAGTGAATGCATCAATAATTGGTTCCGGAATATTCACCCATAAACGTAGTTGCGCCATCTGAGGCTTTTATCCGCGATGACGTGACAATAGAGCGCATTACCATAAGCACCTTGCATGTACATAGCGCATGGCCCGCAGTTTTGACATAATTTGGCTAAACGCAATGTACCGTCATGGGTGTAGGATAGAAACAAGACCACAAGAGTTAGCAGGCGTGTGCACGACGTTGGCAGCTGTCACGGAGGGGATGGATGCACAGATATCACAAGCCATGAGTCAGAGGTAATTAATCAATGCACTTTCAATTAGCATTGGTTTGTGAATCTATTGATACAACATCACAATCGTGATTTTCATCTCAGTGCTTCTCATGCCTTCATGATGTCCCATTCCCAACGCCTTCATATGATGGTATTTGTTATTTACTCGGTCTTGGCGAACTTCTCCTTGACGGCATCATCAAGGGGTCCCTTAGGGTTGGATGATAGGTTCTGGATATGGTTAGATGAAGACATCAGGAAATGATGGGAGGGAAGCTCACCTCAAGCTGTTCCTTGTTGACCTGCTCCTTGTTGGTGGCGTCGTCGATCCCCTTGCCAGAGGCGGGAGGGTCGTTGAGCTGGGCGCCGGTCTGGCGCTCGGGAGGGGGAGACTGGCGACCTTCGGAAGGCATTTTGGATGTGATTTACTAAGGTGGTGATGGGTTTGTGTAGGTAGTTTGCAGAGGCGGCCGTTGTACTGTGTTATGTCTTGGAAGCGTTTGTCTTGGGAGGCGGGAGAAGGTCTGGAACAGGAGGTCTTCACGTTATATAGCAAGATCATGAAGGTTGGGAAGAGGGGCAGGAGCTATCTTAGGTAAGGTGCAGCGGTAGCAGCAGGAGGAGGAGGAGCTCTTGCGTCAATGGGGCGTTTGAGGCCCCGAGAGGTGGGAAAGCTCGCACCGAGTGGCCTGCCACTGGTTGCGGCGTTTGACATCAGTTTGTGGTGTTGATGCCGTCATACGGGTATTGCGTTGCGGGTGCTTGGGCTTGACGTCACCTTTCGTTTGGTTGTTGAGGGCGAGAGGGTGATGGTGGGTGGGTGAGCTCCTGATAAGATGGAGGTGAGCTTTATCGATTAGATTGTTGATTCCTATCGATAAGATAAAATTTCCAACCACTCTTATCGATACAGATAATCACTGGGGTTTACCTAAGCATAACAAAGGGCAGACACACAGCTTTGGCAAGATGCCAGAAATTTCCAGTTTATGTATTCTATCAGTGCAATCCGGGTGCATTTTCTGAAATTTCAGAGGTGTTTTCTAGAGATGTAGACGCTATTGCGGTCTTAGTATGTGATCACCTATTTTGATCAAGCCGCAGTAACTGTAATTCGTGTGAAGTCTTTTACATATCTAGAGATATTGTGACTATTGTTCTTGCCTGTGCTATCTTCGCTGTTCCTACGTTTTGTTGACTCTATGAGCCATAAAACCCTTTGAACTTAGGAAGCATCGTCACGCAGACACACGAAAGACGGCAAAAATACACATCTTGTCCTCTCAAACTCGCATTCATCTCGATGCAGGGTGCTTCGCTGGCAGTTTATGCAGGCGCTTGGGACAGGTGAGCAGCAACGAAACGGGATTCTGCCCGCTGGCGGGGCCCCTGTTTCTAGTGCATCAGCCTTGCGGCGGCGACACGTCCGCTAAAGAATGCCACATGCCCACTAACAAAGGAACGCGATCGGCCTCTCTGCGACAGGTGCCGGGCTAACGAGAGCGACGCGATGCCTAACGCAGGGTCGGCATCGCTAGCGGGTTCAATAAATATCCTCTCGTTGTGGGTTCACCGGCCGGTGATGATCGAGGATTTACATTACAGCCCGAGCCGCTCGCGTGGTCGCCGACACTCACGACGTGCTGTTGCCGTTCCGGGTTGCCATGCCCTGGACACCTGGCCGGGATGTTCTGGTGATTCGAAGCCAAAAGTTGGATTTTAGGGTCTCGAAAAATCATGATCAGCCCTGAACTTTGCGATGACAGGGCCCGTTCTTGGCTGTCTTCGGCGTCGCTATGGACAAGGGACGCAATAGCGGGCAAAGTTTAAATCGCGGGGTTGGCTCCGGAAAGGGCACGCGGGCGAGGCCCCGATATTGCAGAATGCGACCGTTGGCGTGTCTCTGCCAGTCCCGACGTCTCGCGCAACGCTTATCAAGACGAAAGTGGTGTCATGTTGTCGACCTGGATCCTTGAATCCTGCGTGGCCGGTGCTGGGATGACAGGACGGGAAGCCACAGGGCCCGTGGTGAATCAGGGTGATGAGGAGAAAGTGGAAGGAAGAGACACGGACACACACGATGTTGTGCATGGTGACGGCTCCTGCCTGGTTGTCCCTGCCTGAACTTCCCCGTCAACGTCGCACTTGCCCGATTCTTGTTTGTTTGCGGGTTCAGGTGCTACCCCCTTCGGGAAAAACTTTACTTGGACCGCATCGTGCCCACGATCTTTTTTACTTTCCCCAACACAAGAGTACCACTACCGATATCAAGAGAGGCACGAACACACGAAAACACAAGCAAACCTCAAACATCATGTTGGAGCGAAGTTGGCGACGACGACAAGAATATTCATCATGAACAATTCGAACAAACTCAGAATACGAAAGGGCGTACAAATTAGTCGCTGGCTATCGTTACTACTACTACTCATACAAAGACCGATTCCATTCATTTTTCCCGAATCCAATCCATTCCAATCCAATGACCAAGTACACGAATACAACTCCAAAGAGAATACACGCGTCAATTAAACGAACTTCGACGAGAACACGCTGCGACGCTCAAGTCATAACATCGTAACCGAAAATCGCTTATTTCTTCTTGCCACCACGAAGGGCGGTGGTCAAGCTGCCGAGACCTAGGCCGTCAAGCACGCGGTTGAGACCCAGGGTGCCCAGAAGGCCGTCGACGATACCGCCGAGACCCAGACCGCCGAGAAGACGGCCGACTAGGTTGAGAACACCGGCCAGGAGGAGACCGACGGCGGCAAGAATCTGGCCAAGAGGCTCCGTGAGGAGACCCCAGAGAGGGTTGAGCTCCTTCTTGGCGTGAGGCATATCCTCAATCTTGCGCTTGGCTCCCTCGACCGTCTCGGTGATGGCGCCAGTCAACTGAAGTCTTGTCAGTACCTGTGCATGAATATGTGTGCTGTGCTATGAGAAAACTTACCTCCTTCAAGACATCAGCAAGGTGATGCTCCTCGGGAGTAGCCTCACGAGTGCCGGACTTGTGCTTGGCATTGCGCTGGATTCTGCCATCAGGATCCAAGGCGCGGACACTGCCGTTCAATTCGCTGAGGATCTTGCCACCCTCCTCGATGAGAGGCTTAACATCCTTCACGAGCTGCTCCTCATCAAGTTCTTCCTTGGGGGTGCGCTCAGCCTTCTCGATCTTTCCCGTAATCATCTTGCAGATGGGACGCATGCGGTCAAGACCCTGCTCGATGACGGCACCGAGAGACTGGGCGAGCTTGCGGTCGGCCTCAGCTTGCTCGCGAGCCTTGACCTCGTTGGGGTCCTCTTGGGGCTCCTCGACCTCAGGCTCGGGAATGTCCTCGATGAGAGAGCAGTGTCCGACGGTGCGGCCCTTGGAATCGACGACATCACCGTCGCCGTCAATCTCCTTGCCGGCACAGATGGACAACTCACCCGTCGTCAGCTTGCCGATGATGTTGCCATCCTCGTCAACGACCTCACCCTTGCGGTTGACCTTGCGGCCTTCCATGGGGCCGACCTTCTTCTCAACCTCAGGCTCGGGCTCGGGCTCCCATCGCTCGGCCTTGCCAAGAAGGTTGCCGTTGCGGTCGAGAATGTCACCATCCTCATCAACGGCACGGCCAAAGAGAACCTTAGGGTTGCCCTCGATCAAGCGACCAACAATGTCTCCTCCCGGAGTAACAACGTGGCCCTCCTTGTTGACGGTGCAGCCAGGAAGCTCGGCGAAGGGACCCTCCTTAAAGCCCTCGCGCTCTCCCTCAGGCACAAGCTCGGCCTTGCCGATGATGTCGCCAGACTCACTGCGGACGTTTCCGTCCTTGTCGCACATGCGACCGACGAGACGCTTGACATCGCCCTCGACGATGCGGCCGAAAATGGTGCCATTGGTGTCGACAACATTGCCAGCCTTGTTGACGCGCTTGCCAGCAAGGATGGACTTGTCGATAACAACCTCCTCTTCCGGTTCCGGCTCAGGCTCGGGCTCGGGCTCCCAACGCTCCGCCTTACCGATGGTATTGCCGCTGCGATCGAGAACATCACCTTCGTCATCAACCTTCTTGCCCTTTAGCTTCTTCGGGTCACCCTCAATCAGGCGACCAACGATCTCGCCATTGAAGTAGACGTTGCCATCAGACTCGACAACAGCGCCAGGGAAATCCTCGAAGGGGGCGGGCTCGCTGAGACCCTCACGCTCGGTCTCGGGGATAGGCTCAGCCTGGCCGATGACCTTGCCAGAGTCGTTCCAGATCTCACCCTTCTCATTGGCCTTACGACCGACGAGGTGCTTCAGAATGCCAGACACAACACGACCAATGGCCTCGCCCTTGTCGTTGACCAAGTTGCCAGCCTTGTTGACAGTAGCACCCTTGAGGACACCGTAGTCGATGGTGTCCTTGAGCAACTCCTCGGCAACGATGGTGTTCAGCTCGGCCTTGCCAATGATGCTGCCACGCTCGTTGACAATGTTACCCTCGGCGTCGATGACGTGACCAGCCAGGTCAGCAGGGTCACCCTCAGCAACTCTGCCAATGGAGGCGTCGTTGAAGATAACCTTGCCCTCGTCGTCGATTTCCGCACCGGGGAACTTCTCGAAGGGTTGCAGAAGCTTGTCACCAGCTACGGTAACAGTGCGCTGGTCGGTGGGAATAGCGTCACGGATTGTGCTCAGAACACTACGGGTGTCCTCCTTGACGGTCCTGGTAACACCGGTCTCGCCGGTCTTTGCAGTCTCGCCAGTCTCAGTCTGCAATTCATCGGGAAGCTGAGACGCAGGGATGTCCCCGGTTTGCGCATCCGTGGGGAGCTGTGTTTGGGACTGCGCTTCAGAGGCACCTCTGGCCCAGTCGGTGACACTGGTGCCGCCAGTCTTCAAATCCTCAGGAAGTTGGGAGACAAGGTCGGTGGGAAGCTTCGTTTGGGCGTCGAAGGGGATTTGAGAAACAGGAATGTCGGCCGTCTGGAGATCCTCGGGGAGTTCGCTCTTGAGAGTCATGGGGATCTGAGAAACGGGTATGTCGAGAGTCGCGATATCGTCGGGGACTTGTGACTTGAGGTCGTCATCTTCCTGGGTGACAGTCTTCAGATCATCAGGAAGCTGAGAAACAAGATCGGTAGGGAGCTTCGTCTGAGCGTCGAAGGGGATTTGGGAGACGGGGATATCAGCCGTCTGGAGATCCTCCGGAAGCTCGCTCTTCAGAGTCATGGGGATCTGGGAAACGGGAATGTCGAGGGTTGCGATGTCATCGGGGACCTTCGACTGAAAGTCGTCGTCTTCGTATGTGACGGTCTTCAGATCGTCAGGAAGCTGAGAAACAAGATCGGTGGGAAGCTTCGTCTGAGCATCGAAGGGGATCTGAGAGACGGGGATGTCGGCTGTCTGGAGATCGTCGGGAAGCTCGCTCTTGAGAGTCATAGGAATCTGGGACACAGGAATATCAAGGGTTGCAATGTCGTCGGGAACCTTTGATTGAAGGTCCTCTTGCTGGGTGCCAGCCTCGGTGGGGGCCTTCTCGGTTGCCTGTTCAGTGGCCTCTGTCGCATCGTCCTTGAGGGACTCGGGCTTCGCGGTGGCGTCATCTTCTTCGAGTGGCTCCGGCTCCAGTTCCTCGAGAACTTGGGATCTGTCGCCAACGGTGGAAGGGGCTGTAAGTTCAGTCTTGTCAGCTTGAGATGGCTCGGTCTCCGATTGGGTGTTGTCTCCAGTGGTGAGCTTGCCGTTCAGTTCTTGTGGGGCGGAGTCCTGGAGATCCACGGGTGCCACTTCGGAGGTCTTGTCGTTGTCCTCGAAAAGGCTCTTCTTGGCGTCCTCTGTCAGGGAGATCTTGTCCTCAGGGTCTTCTGGCCTATTGGAGAGGAGCTGGGTGAGCTTCTCGTCCTTCTCGGTGACGGTGTCGTCGCGTTCAAGAGGCTGAGTGCCGCCCAAAACGCCGCCGAGAAGGCCTGATTGCTCGCCCTTCTCGCTCTTGCCGCCGCCGATGACACTGCCGAGTGTGCCACCGACAATACCGGACTGTGACTTCTCGTCACCGCCGCCGAGGACGCCTGAGAGGAGACCACTCTGGCCATCGCCACCGGTAACACCGCCGAGGACACCGCCCTGGCCTTCGCCCAGACCAATGCCCTTCGTCAGATCGCCGACGAGAGGCAATGTCCTGTTGACGGTCTGAACAGTGCCGTCGACGGTGTCGACAATGCCCTTGACGCCCTTGGTAGCGCCCATGATGCTGAAGCTTCCGCCCTCCTTGCTCTCACCTCCGGCAACGCTCTCGGTGAGCTCGCCCAAAGGTAGGGCCTTGCCGATGACACCACCGTCCTTTCCGATGATGTCTCCGGTCGCTGTCACGACGTTGCCGACGAGATCGCCAGCTTCGCCTTCTGTGACCTTGCCGACGGTCTTGCCGGTCTCATCTACGACTTCTCCTGTCTTGCCGATGACACCGGCAACGAGGTTCTCGCCATGGTCTTGGATATCTTGCTCAACTGAGTATGCTGAGACGCGTCAGTCGTGCCTCTTCACATGTCATGTAAGTGATCAACTTACTTGACTTCTGTTCTTCACCCTTCCCCCATCCACCAGGCATGCTGCTTCCTGATTTTGAGGCAGCGCCAGCCATGATGTCGGTTCGGTGTCTGAGGTACAGTAGTCCGGAAATGTTGGGCAACTTTTGCGCGTGTAAGTAAGTGGGTTAAAATGGAATAATGTAGCTAATACGAAAAGATGTAGTAGCCCATGGGATGAATGCTTTGAATTGAGAGTCGAAAGTCAAAAAAGCTACAATCACCTGCCGGTCGGACGTCTTATACCAGAAATCCTCACACACCAAATCAAGTTTCCAGCTCTATGGCCTCACCCAACCTTACGTCAAGGGGAGCTCAAGCTTGGGGAGCTCTTCGAAGCTCTGGCCTGCTCTGGCTTCTTCGCGCCACATCTGTGACTTCATGGGGAAGAGGTGGTCGGCTCGTCTGCCGCCCATCATGACGCAAAGCCACACTCGTCCGAGCACGCGAAAGGGGTTGACAGACTCTGGCATCCCAGTCTCATGACGCAAGTTGACTTTTGAAAAGCAACTGCACCTTGCGAGATGGTGTGACAGTCTGCCAGTCGGGCGAGTTGCCATTGGCTTATGGGGTAGATCGCCCGGCCTCCATCTTGGAGCTTCCCAGTTATGTGTGGCTAGTGCATTCAAGGGCCCTCCCTGTTCTGCATCATCCATTCGTCAGATCCCCCACCAGCTACACCCCGAACGCTGCTTTCTGCCCTCCAACACTTTCTTTTGCAAATGAGGATTGCGAAGTTCGCAAAGGCTGGACTGCCATGCAGCATTTCCCCATGCACAACCAACGTCATGACGCTCTTCGAAACACGCACGCCAGCCTCTTATTCGCCACGCTCAGGAATCGACCAGCTCCCTCGCCGCGAATATGCGCCCGCTCACATTTGGGGTTCTGGATTTCACCCACCTTTCAGCCTTACTAGTGGACGGTTCAACGGGGGTCTCAGATGCACGTTATTCAGGCCTTGCATTGCCAAATACGGTTTCCATTGGAACGACATCTCGATCCTAGCCTATCACGCCCGCCTCGCCGCCGTCTGAACGCCGCCGCATGCCAACATCTATAGAACCATTCCAGAACTCCATGATCGACATCTCCATCCAGTCGCAGAATTCCCGTCAAATATTACCCAGTTCCAATATGGATATTTGGCACCCCACCACCATTAAATACAGTTGGGATTTTGATAATGAGCTGAATGCCGTCATGTGTCGACTTCACGTCCATGAAAACCTCAGACGGACTGGGGGCGGACGACGGTTTAGGTCGACCGCAACTGCAATTCTCATGAGAGGGCGCGCTGGTATGCGCATTCTCCGCTGGGCGCGCGCCGTTTGACTGTCCAGAGGCATTGCCTGCTGGTTGCCCAGGCTTCTGGATGCCTTTGCCCAAGTGTGCGCCGTCGAAGTGGCCGACAACGTTATTGTTCTTATCGAGTATGTTGCCCATGTGGTCCACCTTCAGTCCATCGCCCATGCCCTCGATGGGCTTCGGCGACGGAGGCGTCGGTGGAATTGTGTCGTTCTCTGCTACATATCCAACAACTTCGCCGTCCTCGCTAAGGATCTCGCCAGTCACGGAAACAGGCCGTCCGATCATCGACGGCAAGTCGCCCTCGACGCGACCAAGAACCTGTCCGTTCCAGTCGAGGATGTTTCCAAACTCATCGACATACTTTCCTTCCAACCCATGCGCCAGCTGAGCAAGGTTGGGAGGAATAGTCAGGCCAGATGCCACAGGTGTGATTCTTGGAATCCTGATGGGGGCATTCTTCCCCTCCGGCTCCTTTCCCTTGGGGCTGGATGACCCAGCTGATGTTTCCTTAGACTCTTTGGAGTCTTGTGTACCATCATCCGTGCGGCTGCTTGTTGTATCTGCTGACGATGGCGTCGAGTCTTTCGGCACGCTCTGTCCCTGCGTAGAAGACTTCCTCACCGGGATGGGTATCTCCCGCGAGCCCTGTAAATGATAAGGCCCGCCCTGGCCTTGCGGCTGTGGGGTGCCTGTGTTGCTGCTTTGCCGAGGGGGAGGTTGCGGAGGAGTGGTTTCAGCTGGTGGAGCTGGCGAGCCAGGCGCTCGCGACGACGAATTCAGACGAGGCAAAGGTGGCCGGACGTTGCGTCGTGGGACCTCCTCTACCCCAGCTTCATCGTCGTCGACTTCAACAACCTCATATTCATCGTGTCGGGAAGTATGGTCTGGATCGCCGCCAGATGCAGCTTGGGGCTCGGCACGCTGCATGGTATGCGACGAGGGTTTGGGATTCTCGGGGACGGCCCTTTGCAGAGTCCGCGGTGTGTTCAGCGTCGAGGCTGGGCTTTCGGGTTCTTCGATGTGAGCTGTGGGGGGAATCGGCCGAGAAGGAGGGGATGCCGTCATTATTGGATGGCCACAGAAGGTCCTCTGCAAGCAATCGTACTGCACGTCAGCTGGGGCTCGCTTTCAAGGTGAGGGGGAGCATGGCCAGGATGGCCGGCACAGGACCAACAGAGAGAAGGAAAGGAATACGGACACCCACCTGAGGATCGCCTTGCTTCGGAAATCAGGCGTTGAACTCGACTCCGATCGAGAGACTGTGCTGATGTGTACGTTTCTCGGTGCACCCCTTGAGCAGTTACCTCACGCGGACGGGGCTTATCTGCTCTGGCAGGTGCGAGACGCGGGCAGCGCTTGTGCCAGGTCTGCAAGGCAGAAGGGGGTCGGTTCTGTTGCTGTGACGTCAGGAAGACGATGAATCGAGTGTGGGTACGCTGCCGCCGTGACAGATGCTGGGCAGCTGGGGCAGCTTGAGGTTCCAGAACTGGCGAACGGGGCGACGGTTCACCTTGTCAGGATGTCTTGCAAGGGTGATGGGATCAAGTACTTGTCGAACCGAGATCTGGTGTCTCCACTGGCTCCAGACACACGCAAACGTATCCACCGGGTACTTCGGAGAACAACAAGAAGAAGGAAGCGTGGGAGGGATCGCTGGCGGGTGGTGAAGATGGCAGAATGGAAACGAGACAAGACTCCGAAAGAGGCGCCGGCTCAGCGCAGAGATTGGAGGGCAAAAGGTCCGACACGCCTGGCAAAAGCCTGTTTTCTGGTCGAAACCAGAACAGCTGTGCGAGTATCCGTGTTCCTCAGTGGTTGGGCCTTTTGCTTTTCGAACTACTGTACAGACGGAACGCACGGCTAGCCGTCGACGAATGCTGGAGCGTAGAGCACGGAGAACTAGGTGGACAGTTGCGCAAGCTGCGCAGGCTGCAGCGCTATCCCGGCCGGGATATGGCAGCCCAGAGATCGCAGAAGCTTCGAGCCAGCGACACAGACTCTGACGGAGGGCCTGGAGACGACCACAGACATCTAGAGACCGGCGGCAACCGAGTAAACTTCAGATGTGGCTCAGCAGGTGATCAGCTTCATCACAAGTTCGGTATGGCGTTCATGCCCGGGAGAGCTTCACCAGGCCTTCAGATACGTCTCGAGTTTGTCCAGACGGTGTCCGAACCGGGGAATGCGTCTTAACGGATGGCGGCTATTGTGCTGATCTCGATGGTGTTCCCGACGAGGCAATGAATGGCAAAGAGGCAAAGAGTCGACGAGAGCCCAGAACAAAGGAAATGAGACGGGAGCGAACGATCGGCGCAAAACGTCCTCGGCAGGTGGCTTGACGGTTGAGACTGGTTGGCAGTCGCTTAAGAGACACACCACGCGAACGGACGGAAGCCGATGTGAGTGGCTGATGGCCTCATCCGGTGTGCCGGGATGCGACGCAAGAATTTCCCGTTCAGCTACGGTTTCCCTGCACGGCCACCAGCGTTTCTACCGTTCCGTTCCCCGCCGCTGATGGTCGAGACGGTACTGTGGATGCGGTCCTTCTTGGGTTGCATTGGCAATGGGCGGTGGGGAATAAGGGAACAGGGGGGCCGTTCCACCGTTACATTGGGCGACGGGCAGGCACGCACACTTTGCACACTGACCAAGTTACATCGCATCATGTGGCGGCGACGACGCGTCGACATTGGACGGTCTAGGAAGGCCGAAGCCGGTGTGGCTGGAGAGTTTGCTTGCGAGTTTCCGGACCTTTACCTGCAGAGTTTTTTTTGCTTTTCTGCTCCTGAGTTTTCCGGTGAGTGCTTCTGTTAGAGAGGCTGAAGCTGAGATGCGGACATGATCCTGTCAAGAGGGTTCAATCTTGTTGAGTTGTCGTCTTGGGCAGACAACACTAACGCTAGGGCCAGGAGCAAAAGCGCACCGAAAGCAAGGCACAGAGGGAAGCACTCGCAGTAGCCTCAAGCACCGTCGATTTCGCAACGTGTGGCTAGTCGCTCTTCAGCCCCCTCCGTTAATGCCTCCCGATGGCACTAGCCCCGGGGAGGATTGGACAGGATCATTGTGCTGGTGGTGGGTGGACACGACCCCACAGTCGTATGGGAGATTCGCCCCATTCATAAGATCAACGGCACCAAAAGAGCGTGAAACGCAGAGTGGCTAGGCGGTAGAGAGATTAGCGCTACGAACGGGTTAATGGCAACCGTCTCCGCCGATTCCGCCCTTTCGCGTGCTTGACGGCGGTTGTCAACACACATGGTTTGGCTCGCCTTCTCCGCACGAGCTTGTGTAACTAGCGGGTGGCTGAGAGCACAGATGGTGTGCTGAAACCAACTACACACGCTGACATGACCTGTACAGCGGAGGGCCAGCGTCAATTCGGGGGTAACGAGTTGGGCATGCAGGTGGTCAATCACGGCTGCTTACGGTGTGATATGGCGCATGTGACAGTAATTTGATCAAATACCATTCGTTAAAAGTGTTTAGAATGCTTTGGCTAACGTCGAATAGGATACCCATAAAAACTTCCCGAAATAGCGTCCATATCTCATCATGATGGTGGTGATGCACAATTCTTTCATAATACACGCGGCAGATGGATACCAATATCCCATCCGTCCACCAACTCCCCCCTGTCTGCGGGCCAACCGTTTTCTCTCACGGTCGAGCAGACAGGGTCAACAAAAGAAAACCCGCACTTTCCAGCAAACTGTGTCGAAAATTCGCCCACTGTATTCCCGCGACTCCGTTTAAAAACCGATAAGATGTTGATTGCCGTTTTAAGATTTGTCCCTGGAGAAAACGCCTCTCAGTTCCTGATTAAAAGACGAGGAAAAGCCCATTAGCCCATTATGAACTTGGCCTAACTAGCCCGTCCTTGTCTCGGTAAGAAAATAGGACGGAACGGGATAGTCTGACGAGATAGAGGGGGCCGCAACTGAGGGTAAGGAAAAAGGTCAGTACTTACAAGAGGGCAAGCTCAAGGTCACCGTGAATGCGCGCCTTCAGCGTGATTTCGATATCGAGGTTGAGATCGAGACGCAACCTCAGGGTGTCGCTCTTGTCACCACCACCGCCGCCGCCTTGTTGCAGAGCACCGCCAGCGACGTTGCCTAGTGTGTTCTGAACACCACCGGTGACGCCCTGAACAGCCTCGGTAGGGTTACCTCCTCCAAGGCCGCCGAGAGGGCCGCCCTGTTGGCGGCGCTGCATTTGCCTGTTGCCCTGGCGGCGCTGGCGGCGCTGAGGCTGCTCCTGCTGCTGGGTGTCCTCGGAGGTTTCCTCGTCGGAGGCGTACTTGGTGTTGTTCTTCTCGCGGGGGGAAGACATGTTGACGGTCTGGATGGCTTGTTGATGGAAGTTCGAAAATGGTCTAATGGGCTCTCTTCTTCCCGTCGGTATGGGATGGGAAACTGAGGAATTAAGGGCTCTGGATTATATGCGGAGGTTTGTGAGTGCTTCTTCAAAGTTCTCCTCGATCGATGAGTCGCGGATGAGGGTGCAACATATAACTGATTCCGGACAGTATCCGGAAGCAGTCAAAACAGGATGTAAAGCTTACACCCTCTTCGGCCGATGAGATCATGTTGGACCCTGGGGGACCCAGGATTTCCACGGTAGATGTTTTCACCCCTTCAACTTTTTGCGTCACACCACTCGAGTCTCGAGGTGTTCTGGACCGAAATGACGTTGAAGGAGGGCCAAGCGGCATGCGGAGGGGGGGCGGAATCAATGGGGCTGCTGGGGCGGTTGGACCTGTCTCATGCTCTCGATGAGCGGTCCCGATCTGCTCTGGCGCCGAGTCCATTCTACTCTCCACCACAGTCAGTCACTCATCCCAGAAACCTTTGATTGGAAGAGGGTGTCGAGAATCCCTGTCGCTTTTCTCTCGGATTTGCATCGCAAAGCCTTACTGCAGGCTACAGCCCAATCATGCTCACACCACGGGCTCGAGGGTCATCACATTGCCAATGCAGGCATGACGCACCATTACTCTATTCTCTGCCATCAAACAAGCTTCTCGTAAGTCAGTTTTGCGCCTTCCTCGGTGCCTCGCAAGCTAGGCTTGACAGGCATTGTGGTTTTTCGCACTGACGGAGTACGGGTTCACGGGTTACAGATACCAACTATGCCAAATCCATCCAAGCTGTGCAGAAACCTCGAAGGAACCGTGCTGTGCGTCGTTGGTCTATTCGCACATGCTGCCAGAAGGCTCCTCCAGGTTTCTGGTTTCTCCCAGCGTCTTCTTTCAATACACACCCCTCCCCCTTTCTGGCTTCTGCGGTATTCACCACCATCCGGAAAAAGAGGCCTAGCTATTATTCAATCTCGAACATATGCGCTCTCAATGCCTAGCGCCATCTGTCGCCGCAGGACAATCTCTATACACTCATCCGGCTCGTACCCTTGCCGCAGCCTCCCGTCCGGATCCCAATACACCGCCCATCTGCCGTCGTCTTCGAGGGCAGCCACAAACCCCATGCCACTGCCTCTCAGCATCAGATGCCTCTCATCTTCAGTCCAGCCCCAGGGTCCTATGACGTGGCCGATTGTGTCTTTACGACCTCCGTGCCGAACGGCTCGGGTATCGGCGTCGACATAGATCCAGTTCAGCATCGGCGGATCTTCCGAGATGGTTGATACCAGCCCGCGGTAGTTCTCTTCGGAGGGGTAATTGAAGTAGTACCCTGAAAACTTGTGTCCCGCCGCTGGAGCCATGCTATGGTTTATCCAGAGCTGGGGTAAAGAAAGACTGCATGTTAGTTTACTATTGTGGATGGGATGTGCGATTGTGGATGTGTGCGACTAGTGTGTAAGTCGTGTGAAGGCTGGTGTGTGGGTGGGTGTGAACAGAGACGCGCCCCTCCCCCGTTCCCAACGGTGGGAAAAGAGACAAAAAAGCAAGTTGCAAGTGCACCTTGCAGATGATTGACGAGATGATACGCAAGAGGGTTGCAAAGAACGAGAACAAACTTGCCTTGTTGTCGACGAGGACGCAGGGCGCTTCTTCCCGCTTGCCGTCGATGGTCATGGTCGCCGTGAGGCTGAACTTGGCCTGCTCTTTGGCGGCGGCATTCTGCTTCTTCTGCGCGCTGACGGCCTGCCCGGTGCCGATGACTGTGGGGATGGCGGCAATGGTGAGTAAGCCGATGACCATGTTTCGAAAACTTTTCCTCTACGCAGAGAGGAGGGTCTGGAGGAAACAGAGAGACGAGGAGAGGAGGGGAATGGATTGGTTCCGCGTGGGAGATGGAGACTGTCCAACAACCAGAGGAGCGGGCACCTTGGACTGACTCTCCCTCTCTCTCGGGACTCGGACGTGTCAAAACCGTGTGAACCGCGGGGAGGCGAGGCAAGGGGGGCCTTCGACCGGGATTTCGAGCTGATCGACTATCGACTTGTGGAAAGACAAGTTTTTTTCTGATTTACGCTCGCTGCCGAGCTTCCTCAACAAGACGGCAGATTTGCGCGCGGACGACGAAAAGAGCTGTTCGAGATTTGAGGAAACAGGTTTTAGCGAATATCCCATGGAAAAAAGAAGCGCGGGGCGGCCTGCGACAGGCAGAAATTCCGCGTGGCTTCTACAGAGGGGTTCGTGTGTGGTCATCATATGCCTCCCCAGCATGCATATACCAGAATCTTTGTTTTTTCTTGTCGTCCGTCTGGTGTTTCGATTCGCCGGGACTGCTCTCCTGGGATCGAGATGCCCGTTTCGGGAACACCCCCCTCCCCTTCTCCATCCATGTCTGGGGTCAGCCCACACCCACCCACCACCTCAGAATCGGTACCGGCCAGCACGCCAGGAGGATACATACCCACGCATGCGCAACGGTCTCCACCGAGATGAGTGTCTAGACCGTTCTGTTTTGCGCGTATCACTGGGTCGCCGTCTGATTTACTTGTCACATTTTGTCACTGCGCGTGCGAGTGGATGAGGTTGGGTGTGTTTAACTGCACACCCTGTCCTACGTCATCTTCTCGGTTCAACCCCTTCGAGCTTCAACCGCTCTCCTTTGCTGCCTTTTTTCGGTGCTGTTGGTTCGGCTACTGCCAGTGACTTACACACATCTCGGCGTGTTCCCCCAACTCCTCGACAAGGATGTGCTCTGCTGGGCCCCCGTATCAGCTCTTCCCGCCCGGAAGTAAGGCCGCAGACTCCCCCATTCGCATTGATGATTCGTCGCTCGGCGAGAATCAGAGGCAGGCAGAGCTTCATGCTCATCGACGTCACCTCTTTGATCCCTTTTTTCTTGCTCACCTTGTCAACACCTCAGGACCCTGTCGATCGAGGGCGTTCGGATAGGGAGGAATCCTGTTCTCGAGAATCACACACGTTCCCCCCCTCCACCGAATATGGTATCAAGTGATATCACACCGACGGGGTTTGTGTTTGGCCTCTGGCTGCTTCACGGTCCCCACGAGTCCTGTCTCTCTGTGCCTGTCTCCCTTATGCCTTGCCGGCGTGTAAGTCCACCACGTTTAGGAATTAGTCCATTCCCCTTCCCTTACCTGCATAAGCCGGGTCCCCGTTCAGCTCTCCCACCCCGGTTTCCCACACCTATTACATCACTGGGTATCACTCCCCCTAGGGGTGTGAGGTAATTGTCACTGAAAACAAGATATCCTCCAGTTCATCGTGCGCGGATCTGATTTAAGTGTTCGTGTGCCTTCGTGTAGTTTTCCCGTTAGTAGCTTTTACTACTTTTGGTTCCCAAGGTTTATCACTTTTGATCAAACACGTCTTGCACCTCACCACACCTCACCCACCACAGCCCCAACGTACTATCACGAGAAAGATACCCCTCGTCCCCCACTTCGGAAACGGTACCATTGAGTGAGCAGGTGTCGTTTGCGAAATAATTAGCTTGTTGTAAGGGGAAGATCACATTTATGGACGACACAATGGCCAAGAACAAGAACAAGGTATGCCTTTGCCGTTTGCTCAATATGCAAGATTCACCTGTTGATGAAATGTGGGTAGAAGGGCCAAGCCGCCCAACAATCACCTGGCGGAGAGGGTTCCAAGCCCGAGGAGACGAAGCCGGAGGGCACCACGCCCGTCGGCGAGTTCGGCAACCCGGCAGAGAATATCGGCGACGACAACAACAACAACAACGAGAAGAAGGCCGAGGAGAACGCGGCTGGCAGCACCGAGGAGTCCCAGCCTGAGGAGCCTCAATCACAGGAGCAAAAGTCGCCATTCGACCAGCCGCCCTCATCAACAGAAGACGACAAGAAGCCCGAGGAGAGCAAGCCCGATGAGAAGAAGGCCTCCACGGAAGAGAAGAAGCCCGAGGAGGAGCAGAAGCCCGGCAGCAAGCCCGACCAGAAGGCGCAGCAGGCGCAGGTTGACGATGAGCCCGAGGAAGGGGCCAACGTCGACAACGACAAGAAGCCCGAGGCTAAGGGCAAGGAGCAGGAGCCCGCCAAGGTGCGTTCGCGTGAATCAGGGTATACTGAGCGTGAAGCTGACGCCGAGGAGCCTACGGAGCTGCAGGATGACGAGGAGGGCGAGTATTACGACGACGACGGTGAGGGCGAGTACTATGACGATGAGGATGGTGAGGTCTACGATGACGACTACTACTCTGGCGATGACCAGGACGAAGATTACGACGACGAAGACGACTACGAGGGGGAGGAGGGTGAGGGGTCCGACCAGGCGGGCAACTACACCACCACGAAACAACAACCGCGGCGCGGATACTCGCAGAACAACGACCCGTACGGTCGCAACAACCAGATGATGCAACGCAACGGCGGTCGCCAACAGGGCGGCGAAGACATGTACCGCCAGCAGCAGATGCAGCAACAGCAGCAGCAGCAGATGCAACAGCAACAACAACAAATGCAAGGCGGCGGCGATGCTGGCGGCAAGAACCCGCTGAAGTTGAGGCTCGATCTGAACCTCGATATCGAGATCACGTTGAAGGCAAAGATCCATGGTGATCTTACTCTGGCTCTGCTGTAAGTTTTTCGGATATTCCCTTGTTTTCTTTTCGCGATACCCCCTGAGCATCTTTCGAAAGTTTGTTTCCTTTGCTCCTTTTGCTTTACGGATTGTTTGGTCCGTGTCGAATACGATGCTTTTCCGGCCGTTTCGACGCTGGAGGGTGCGAACGCGACTCGGATTTTCTGCCTGTGCTGCCCAGTGCGCTTCGTCCTTCCCGCAGAACTCTGTCATGCAAATGCGATCTCCGGGACCCGGGCGGGGCGCAATATCGGCGGTTGAAATCGAGTCAGGAACTGTGCTGCAAGAAAAAAACTTTCGAGCATTCTGAAGGCTCGTTCCCTGCTTCCGTCTTCTCCACAGCGAACAACTCAGTTACGGAGTAATGGAGCCCACCACGCGAACGGTGAAGAAATGGCTGGCAGATCCCAGCCCGCGAGAGTTCGCGACCGAGTCTGCGTGGCGCCTCATTTCGGACCCGAGCCAGCGTTCGGGAACCGTGTGTTTCGAGCCGTCGAAATTCTGCTCGATTCGATGTCACAGTGCCGACATGCCTCCTTTTCTTTTTTTCCCCTAGGGCATTTTCCTTGCTTCGTTTCCGTGCGGAAGAGACACTCGAGGAAATTGTTCAGAAGGCTAACTGCATAGCGACATGGATTAGTGACATGATGTGAAAACGGGTCTCTGATCTGCGGCCTGTTATCGCCGAATTTTCGTCAGACTTTCTCTTTCTCAGCAAGATACTGTTCGGCATCATGATTATTCCCCCAACGGCATAACGGCGAAAAATCCACAGCGTGCAATGCGCATAAGTGACGAGTTTCTTTTGTTGTATCATGGCTTCATTGAAGACCTTTTTCTGGCAGTTCGGTAAGATGGTGTTTGATACGGATGGGTATGGAGAATCGTGGCCGTTCCCACAGCGATCGGACTTGTCAGATTTAGCGGCGGATCAGATCTTGTCCAGTGTAATTTTAGGCGCCCACACAAATGATCAATCCTCTGACTGAGTCGATGTGGCTTGACAGGTGACAATTTGATCTCACAAAATGAGCCAACTGTAAAAGCGGTTTAACAGTACAAATCACAGCCCATTCTTGGATTTCATGGTAGGAAAAGCAGGATATGCTGCAATCATTGCTGGAATGCTCTGATTCTTCTTTGATGCAGCTGGATCCATTTTGGGAATGTTCTCCGACCGTTTGGCTTCTTGTCCAACGGTCAGTGTAGCGAAGACAAGTCCGGGAGCTGTATCCGGCGAACTGCATTTTGGCGAGTCCGTATGATACCTAACGACTCTTCGTCAAGGTACGTTGCCGCGCATCGGCTCTCTGCAGAGGTGAAGGTGTGGCTGGTGCGGCATCAGTGCTCGTGGACTTCTGCCCAAGAGTATCGTCATTGTCAGGTTTCCGCGGCAGCCCACCCATCCCGGTGCGTGATCCGCGAGAATCGGCCGAGTGCAGCATCACAATGCAGTCAGAGTGAAGTGCCACTGCGGTCGAGGTCCAATGATGAAACATTTCAGCCTCATCGGGTGCCCACCACACGGCAGCGGTTGCAGGGAATAAAACCTGTTTTTTGGTGTTCCCTCGTGATGTTGACAGCGGGCGATCGCAGGCAATCCCAGGGGAAGAAAAACGGCCACGGTATCCGTAATAGCGGGAAAAAGGCAACGGACGACCCACCGCCCGATTCTAGACAGCTTTGCTCCATCTTTTTGAGTCGTGTTCCGTACCGCTTTTCGCCGCCGCCGCGTCGTACCCGCGATCGATCATATTTGGGGGTGATATCGCGGCCAAGCAAACGCTGGACAAAGCGTCTCCCCCAGTGAAAACGATGGTAGTCGGGTGGATGCAGTTTAGGCTCTCACTCTGTTCGGACGACGTCTGGCGGACAAGAGCACCGTGCCAGAACAATGGGATTGTACGACGGTTGGACGTTTATCTGGCCTTGTGTGTGCGAGTGTGCCGTGCTCCGTCTCACAGGAATTGCGAGCGACGACCGTGACCGCAAGCGAGACCGTAGGCGAGCCGAATCGAGATCATTGCAGGAGCTATGACCAAACGGTTGGCTCAAAGGGCAATGAGCGGCGGGAAGAGATTGCAATGGAGGCGTCTGAAGACTGGAAGGACAGGGGGCCGCGTGGACAGGGGCCCCGAGACGTCTGTTCGGAGCAAAAGCGCCGCCGCGGGCAGGCAAGACGGTCGGGATTGTTCTTTGGGATTGTCGCTGACCGGGGGCCAGACGGAAGAGCCAGGGGCTGCTGGTCCATGCGACGTCAAGAGCGGGGAACGCGGCGGGGAACCGTGTGGCGCCGACGCTAGGGAAGCAGCCACATTCGGTGAAACGGTGGGTGATCTGCAGCCAAAACGGTGGAGTGGCTCCGTTATCGACGTGTATCCGTGTTTCGCCCACAAATAATGACAGGATTATGCCGTTTATTTTTGTGATGGTGGGCTGTTGCTGCTTGTCGAGCGTTCCGCACCGGCACCACCGGCAGGCAACGAAGAGGAGTGGAGTTGGCAGCTGTCTGTCAGTCTGTCGTCAATGTTTGCGAATGGTGGAAGGCCGTCGAAGGTGTCGCAGGAATGCAGAACGTTTGTCGGCGATGGCCTCGTTGTCGTCGGGACAAGCTCAAAGGAACACCTAGGTGTCTGGGGTGCTGCGTCGTACTGGCACGGGAATCCAGACTTTGGAAAAGCATGTCGGTAGGGCTAGCGCTTTCGCGGAGATGGGATTTGTGACACCTGCTAGCATAAACTTTGCACCACGGCAATACAACGTCGGATCGAGGGCGTGGTCGAGATCGGGGGCGGTTGTGTTAGATGCGTGCAACAGGGAGCAATGGAACCTGCGGCACGTGCAGGGAAGGAGAAATGCCATCCCGTCCCGCTGGAAAGCCTTACCTAATCACCAAGGTCGGCAGCGGATAATCTTGAGACCCGTGCGGCATTATCGATAAGACTTGGTCTGATAAGATAACAAAAAGTCGTGGCGGCTGTGGCGGAAGCAGAAGCGGGGTTGTGGCTGGCCTTATCACCCGTGCTCAAGTGGGGGAAGGACGCATGAAGCATGAAGCATGACGGAGCTCCAGATCAAGCAACCCTACAGGTAAACAACCCCGTCAAACTCAGATTGGACGATTTATGGCGTGTTGATCGAGGCCAAACAAACAACCACGCGTCTGGCAACATTGTCAACAACATCAGGCAACACAGCACCCAAACAAAACCTTCGTCTTTGCCTCAACTTCGAGAACCAAGCAAACATCATCGACATCACCGCAGTCGCTTTCAACATCCACAATGCCTGATCTCAACACCGTCCCCGCTTCACCACATCCCGTCAATGCCTCTCGGCGCTCTTCATCGAACCAGATATCTCACCAGATGCCGCCTCCTCCTGTGCCCGCATCGTCAGAGTCGCCTTCCCTAAACATCCTTCCTTCGAACCAGAACACGGTCAACAACCCGAGTACCTCGAACCCCTCTCTCCCATCGCCGACGATGGCCCCGGCAGCGACGTCTCCTCCGGTCGCGCCTGAACCCAGCGTCTCCGGGCCGGGCCCCATCCGTCATCCGCGTCCCATGACCGCCTCCGATCTTCATATGCAGCTCGAGAAGGAGCAAGAGGCAGTCGTACGTCGTGCTACATTCCCCATCACCGCTTCCACCTAACAGACCATTAGGTAAACCGCTTGACCCGCGAACTCCAACTCCTCCGCACCGCACAAAACGCCTCTGTCGTCTCCAACGCATCCTCAACATCTGCATCGAACACTACCGAAGCACCCGCCGACACCCACCTCCTCTCCGGTGCTGCCTTCTCCACCCCCGCGGTACCATCTAACAGCTCCCGCCGGCACCATCGCACCGCCTCAAACGCTAGTACGCGCAGCCAGACCGCGATCGCCGGCTCGGCCTCCGTGTCCACGACCTCCATCCCGATCCCACGCCCCTCGAACCCCGTGCGCCAGGATAGCATTGCCTCACGCCACAGCTTGTCTTCCTCGCCAGCCCACTCGCAGCAGCATCTGGATCCCCACGCCAGCGGCATGACGTACTTCCAGCAGCAGCGTCTGCCTCACCAGGCTACTGGAAGCACTTCCATAGCTGCTACTCCTGGGAGTGAGTCACAGCTGTCGCCGGGTATGATGCCAGCCACTTCAAGATATGAGGAGACTGCACTCCACCGACAGGAGTTGGAGGTTGCCAAGCAGGAGAACGAGGCATTGAAGCAGCGTATTCGCGAGTTGGAGAAGTTGGTTAGGGAGAAGAGCGCCAACGTAAGCCGAGAGAGGAGTGAGAGTGTCAGCAGTCTGACTACGGGAGGAGCTGGTGTGGGTCTGCCGGCTCCCAGCGGCGCAGCTGTGGTCGCTCGTCGCGAGCGTCCTGGTGGTGAGAGGGAGAGGTCTCTGACAACCATGAGTGTTGCAAGCAGCGTTGCTGTTGGCGTTCCCGAAGAAGAGGTGCAGGTTGGAGAGAGTGCGGCGAGCTCTGGGCTGAACCCCTGAGTGCGCTTGCGGCAGTAGATTCTCTGATACCCTGAATCATTGCTAGCGATGGATTAAAGAACATGGATTACGGCCTGATGAACGAAAAGGGATGGCGTTTAGGGATTGGAGGGGGCATAAGCTTTGTCTCTGTACATGGGTTTACGACTTTATTTAGTAATGAAAACACTCCCGCATCGAATACTCATATCTCCAGCGACAGTCATGTAGCTTTTGCACTCAATTAAATATCACGATCAAGCTCGATGAATCGTAGAGACCGTTTATCATTTGTCTATGCATCTATGAACATGCCTCAACGTCCAAATCTATCGCAAAGACCAATCTCCTTTTCCAAGTTCTCTATTAGAGCTTATTGAAGGCATCCGGGTATCTAGAACCAATCGCCAAAAACTCATGAAGCGAAGCCAAATCCGCCTCTCCGTCACAACGAGGAAATACACGCGCACTTCTTGTCGCGACAAACCGAGACCTCGCCAACCCGCTGTCCGCAGCAGTTCTTCGCACACTCCTTGTTCGCCTCGCACTCCTTCACATCCTCAAGCGCAATCATGCAATGCTGGCAATGACATTCCCCATCCCAGCACATGACATTATTTGCGGAGGCGCAGCTCGCAGGGCCGAACTCGCCGGAGCAGCTGGCGTGGGTATCGCACCGCCACGGCTTGCACGCGCACTTACCGCCCTCGCAGACCTTGCGGTCGCTGTGCCGGTCGCAGGCGATGCCGACGCACTCCTTGGACTCCTTGCACACCTCGCCGGCGCGCTCAGGGCGGTGGAACGGCTCAGAGGCGGTGAGCTCGCACGTGTTCTCGCGCGAGCACGTCTTGTACGGGTGCGTTTCGTTGTTGCGGAGGACGTAGGTGCAGTCCCCGTGCTTGGCGCAGCCGGTGTCGTCGGTGAACTTGATGGCGCACTCGCAGCTGCCGCCGTTGCAGAAGCCGGACTGCACGATGTTGCACGACATGAGGCCGGCGCAGTGGGAGTCGAGCTTGCACGCGGCGCCGACCTCCCGAGGGATGGGCTCGCAGCGGCATTTGCCTTGCAGGGAGCACGAGGGGAAGTGGTGCTCGGGGCAGCGCATCTCGTTGCACTCGGATTCGACGGCGCAGGCGTCGCCGGGGACGGGCCGCATGACGCAGTAGCAGCCGTAGCGATTGCCGTTGGCGGGCTTGACGCAGGCTGGATACATGTCGTCGAGGCAGGGCAGGGCGATGCAGTTCCTGGCCCAGGCGCATGTCGAGCCGGCGCCGGAGGGTTGGGGGATGACAGTGGGGATGGTCTTGGTCGGGATGGGCTCCCACTCGGAGAGGACGACAGTCGTGAAGGGCTCGGTGCCGGTCCAGGGTGTTTCTACCGTCAGGGGGAAGCTGGTTGTGGTGTTCAGGGAGGTGACGCGGGTCGACCAGGCGCTGGTGCGGGCATTGGTGAGGCTTGAGGTGACTGTGATGTTGTCGTTTCTCTCCTTGATAACACATCGACAGTGGTCGAAGAAGCACACTGCTTGTCGGTTGTCGGGACAGCTGAGGGAGCCGCACTCAGAGTTCACGACGCAAGACGCGGTCGGCAGCGGCAGAGCAACTGGGGTGCGTGTGAACGTCATCGAGGATGAGGGTGTCAGCTTCGCTGGGATCTTGCAAGCGGGAGCGGTCTTTTGTCGGCCTTCCATCATGGGGTCTCCTCCAGCGGCCTCGGGATCAATTGGCGGAAGAGGCGGCCAGAACAGGTCATCGTCTGAGGGCGGCACAATCCGGTGGCCATCACCACACCATAAGTTCTCCCACACAACCTTCTTCTCCCATCGCAGCCTCAAGGCTTTGAAGCCAATGCCAAGATCCATGCTGTCGTCGTGCGGATGGTACTCCCAAGAAAACACACCCCATTCGGGGTGATCTTCCCTCGACTTGCCAAGGTCGCTCTCGAAGTGCGGGCGATACGCGATATTCAACATCTCGTCAATGGACAGCCCAAAGTCGAGGAGGAGCTTCTCCTTTATCTGGACAACGACGCTGTGATGCATCATCACGTCCTCAGGGAACGGAGGGAGAGACCCTCGGGAGACGATGAAAGCCTTGACAAAGTCCATCTCCTGCACGTTGAACGGCCCGCCGGGCTGAAAGTATTGGGCAAGCCCCGGGTTCTCGTGTTCATCCAAAGGGTTCGCGGTCAGAGAACGTTTGTTTCCTCGGAAGTTACCGGTCCCAAGGTGGTCGATGATGTCTTCTTTCAAGTACTGCTCCGTAGGCAAGGGGTACGCCTCTTGGAGCCACGCGCTGTCAGCATCTTCTTCTCCTCTCGTGTGCCCAGGAACTTCCCAGAAGTGGCTGGTCCAGACGGCTTTCGGGGACACGACGATGAGCATGGAGCAGCCCCAGACAGGGCCCGAACCACCGAAACGAGGTCTCTCAACAGAAATATCAGTATACTTCTCCCGGTCAAAGAAGGTGATCTCGCTGGTCGCCCAAGGCCTCGGGTATTCGTCCTCTTCGCAGGGCCAGCTATCAGGAGGTCCGCCAAAACCTGGACCGAACTGGTCGATGACGTTTCGCATCGACTGCCACCACTTCAGCTCTCCCTCAGGCGAGTCCTCGGGCTGGACCATTTGGTCATCATTGGTGAGATACACCTCGTCGGGTGTTGGGACCTGTTCCGGCCAGGGGTCGCGTTTCTGGGGTTCTTTGCTGGAAGAGCCGCCGCACGAACCGCAGTTTTTCTTGAGCATGCAGAACTGAGATACGGGGCAGGTGTCGTCTTGTCGCTTGGAAATCAAAGAAGTAGAGTGCTTGTCAACATGCATACTGTCAGGCGCCGCAATGAGTCCATCGCCGCACCAAGTCTCGCGATGTATGATGTCTCTCTCGAAGCGAACGACGAGCTCTCTCTTCCCACTCGCTCCCTTGGGGGTGTACATCCAGGAGAGAAGACCGTGCCAGGGCTCCGCTTGACGGAACTCAGGGGGAGGAGTCTTGCCTTCGTCGTGGTGGTGGTCCTCGCCGAGCTCCTTGCGACGCTTGTAGCCATAAATGGTGATGTGCTTCTTGTCGATGCCAATGAGTCTTCCGGTGAGGAGGTCAATGATCTCTTGGTTAGCCCGAGGATACACCATGTTACCGCTGACATCGATCGGAACGAAGAGGATCACCCTGTAGAACTGGGTGTTCTTTGGGTCGAGCTTGTCTCCGACCTCGACGAGGTGTCGAAGGGCCGGGTACTGCTTCTGATCGGTCCAGGCGGCGGAGCCATGTCGAAGGAAGTGGTGGACATTCTGCCGGAAGTAGTGTGCCTCATCGTAGTTCAAGGTGTCAGTGTCGAAAGCCTCTCGGTCCTCGTCGGGAATCGAGAAGTTGGGAACTTCCCACATGTGGTTTGTGTAGATTCCAGTGGGCGAGAAGACCGCGACCATCGCGCATCCCCATACGGGTCCGCTGCCGCCTCCCATCGGGTACGTCTTGGAAAAGTCCTCGTATATGGCTGACGAGTCGGCATGGATGGGGCTGCTCTGGTGGTATCCGGGACCGTAGTACTTGACGACGCGGCGCATGTTCTCCCACCAGTCCTTCTCGCCCTTCTCCCACGTCTCGGGGCCGGTCATGGTATTCTGGACGATGACGTCTTCGGGAATGGTGCGCTTCTCGAGACTCGAGCGCTTCTCGAGGCCGTCGTTGCGCTTGACCTTGCTGTCACTGCATGCCGGACACTTCCCTGGGCGGCAGGCACCGGTGGCCTTCGGCTTCTTGGTGGTGTAGGTCGTGGTCGTGGTGGTGCGGACGCTGGTGCAGAGCTCCGTGGTCGAGCATCTGGCGGTGTCGCAGCTGGTGGTCCAGGTGTTTGTGACATGGTTGGATACCTTGGAGACGACGCAGGGCCGAGTGCAGTAGGGGGCAACGGTGATTGACTCTGTGCAAGACGAAGAGTAGGAGGATGCTGAAGAGGTAGGCGAAGGAGAAGCCGTTGGCTGGGAAGGCTCCGGGTTATCGGGGTCTTCCGGCTCGTTGGGATTGTTTCCACCACCGCCGCCGCCAATGGGTCCGATGCCAACTAGGCGACCCCAGGTTGGTAGGTTGGTCCCGAGGCGCAAGTTGGGAAGGTTGAGATCCCAACGCCAGCTTGGGATCTTGGTTCCGATACGCCAGTTGGGCAGGTTGGTTCCCAAGTTGAAAAGGACACGGAGACGCCAGCGAATGTTCCAGGTGAATCGGCCAAAGAACCAGAGAAGGAAGTCGTCGTCTAGGTCAATGTCAATGCGGATCTCGTTGAGTCTCTTGTGGATCTCTTTCTCCTCGTCGTCGTCGTCATCGTCGTCGGGATTCTTTTCGTCGTCATCATTTCCATCGTCATCATCGTCTCCGTTACCATCATCATCTCCATCGCCATCATCATCTCCATCGTCGTCTCCGTCTCCGTCACCATCTCCGTCACCATTGCCATCCCCATCTCCTTCTTCGTCGTCATCGCCCCCTTTGCTACCTTTGCCAAGCCCGGGAGGGGCTTTAGGCCAGGAGAAACCGTCGTCTTTCTCGGGCGAGGTGTAGCACTGGATCTCTGGGATCAAGCAGATCGGGTTGCAGAGGTTGAGGGAGATGCATCTCCAGACAGGGACAACCGTGGGAATGACCATGCCGTCTGAGGTTGTCGAGGTAGGGAGGTCGATCGAAAGCCATGTAACGTTCGCGGTCTTGCGGCTTCCATCCGGCTCGGTTGTCGTCGCGATGAGAGGCAAGACTGTCGTGTATTTTCCTGGAGGTGCATACCAGGGACCGATGGAGCCAGAAGCTGGGCGACCAGAGGGGACCGGGCGGGGGCCTGTCTCCGGGTCGTGAGGGATGGGAGTCGGCTCCCCGGTGTTGACTGGCAGAGTGCTTGAGGCGGTAGGAGCGGGCGACGGTACAACTGTATGGGAAGACTCAGAAGGGCCTGGGATGACGGGAATCGGCTGGCGGCTTGTTGTTGAGTCCACGGGAGGCAACTTCCAGGAAAACGACTTTGAAGACCCAGAGAAGCTAGGAGCGTTGGGGAGACTGATAGGAGGAGGCACGCTCAGCGATTCCGAGAAGCTGGGAGACCCAGGAAGACTGATGGGAGGAGACAAGCTCAAAGATTCTGACGCTGAGAAGCTGGGAGCACCGGGAAGACTGACGGGAGGAGGCACACTCAATGATTCCGAGGAGCTCAAAGGTGGAGGCAGTCCAACATGATCCGTTGACTCCTTGGAAGTGAAGGTCGGGAAGGGGATAGGAGTGAAGCCAGGGACTGAGCTGTCGACAGAGCTTGTTCCAGGGAGACGCAGTGAGGGAATAGTGACTGGGTCATCGGCGGGCGCGTAGATTGTAAGAACAGTGGTGTAGACCAAAGGAAAGCGGGTTGTCTTGATGCAGTCCATCGCAGCTGGGTTTGCCTCGACTTCTGTGAACAACTGTTAGCAGGTCTTTGTTTCTCAGCCATGGGAACGGGAATGAGACTCACGCGCGAATCCCAAGAGAAAGAACTGGGATAAGAGTAATGCCCAGAGGGCTGCCTCCAGCCGGTTGTGACTGGGAGCAGCCATTGTGTTTCGAGTATTGTTGATCAGCTGGTGAAGTCGGGTAAGAGAGGAAGATAGTGGTATTGGTGGAATAAAAAGGAAGTTGAGGAGGGGTGAAGTTGTTTATGAAAGGTTGTGGTGGAAGAAGAAGAGGGAGGAAAGGTGAGGAAGGGCCTTAGATCCAGTTTTGTGGGAGGAGTCCCAGCTGAGGTGAAATTTCAATATCCAGAAAGGCAGGAAGTAGGCTGGGAGAGGCTTTTTTCACCCTTCTTTCACCTTAGGAGTAAGATGAAAAACCCTTCACCTCATTCACTGGGAAAGGTGAGACCTAGGCGTTAGGTGAGGACGGCTTATCTTAAAAGTTTCCAGATACAGTCCTTCAAATCGATCTTTTCCCAGGGACGATAAAAAAAGATACCAAAATCATGAATATTCAGATATTTTATAATCTGCCGTGAGTTGCTTCTTTTCCCAAACCTTTCCATTTTAATCTCTTATGAGGTAGTCACCGGGTGACCTTGTCTACATGGAAGTCCATCGTTACCGACGATGATGGTACCACTAAAAGCATGTACGTGCCCCTCTTATCTCTCACTTTCTTTCACGTATGAGCATCCCGAGGCTAAGATTTCTGGCAAGAAACGTGTTGTTGGTTGCGACTCATCCTGATGTAGGCCGCACCATGCCGGCGAAACAACTCACAGGAATAAAGCCTGAATGCATCTCCTTACTGCTGAGTCTTCTGTGCCTTTGGCGATACATCTGCTGCCCCGTAGTCAGCTGAATTTCGAGAAAATTCAAATGTTGCCGAAGAATATTGATGGGTGAAAGCGGTGAATGTGCCACAGCAGAAGAGGGGACAAGAATGGAAAGTGTCCCTACGTGGAGACACTACCTTGACCGGAAAATACCATCACTGTTGACAATCAATTTAGCTCAATCAAATTGCAGGCGAGGCAGGCACATTTCAATGTGCAAATAGATTTCTTGTCAAAACCGATGCTCAATCCGACGCTAGAGATCCGAACCAAGGCTTGATAAGCTATGGCATGCAAAACTCAGATGCGGCTTCTGTCTCTCGTGTCTCTAACAATGTCAAAGCCAGCCCATCCATCCAGCGCCTCGCGGATCTCTTTGGCATATTGAGGAATACCGCCAGCAAAGTTGACCTGCTCAAATGCTTTGCCAGGCATCGAGCCACCCATGTACGTCGACCTGGTCGTCGGGAACAAAGACGCATTGCTCAGGTCGTTGATCCTTTGTTTCCACGTCTTAGTCGCTTCGGCAGTAGGGTTGATGTACTTGATATTCTCCCTTTCAATCTTGCGGATGCAGTGTGCGATCCACCGTCCTTGGACCTCGACCGTAGAAGGGCCGTTGCTGAGGAGAGTCGGTCCGTGAGGGCCGTACATGTGGAACATGTTGGGATACCCGCTGACTGTGGTGCCCAGGTACGTGTTCGCCGCCGCCTTCCACTCATCTTGGAGGTAGGTGTTGTTGATGCTCTTGAGACCCATGTTCGTCATGCCGCCAGTAGTGATGTCCTAAATCTTTGAGTCAGCTTCGGCAGTTCGGTAACAAGGAGCTGGTCTGGACAAAGCCCGATTCGCGTATCCCCACTGCTGTGTGCCATGAAAGGGGTAATGCTCACAAAGCCGGTAGCGATAGCAACCACATCAAACTCGTAGTGAGATCCATCCTCCAACTTGATGCCCGTCTCGGTAAAACTCGCGATGCCGTTCTTTCCAATGTCAATGACGTCCACATTCGGCTTGTTGAACTGCTCATAGTAGTTCTGTTCCAAGCAAGGCCTCTTCACGCCAAAGAAGTGCGGCATCTTGTCGACAGTGGGGGCCAGAATATCTCGCTTCCTGGCATCGCCAATCCTGAGTCGCACATTCTTCGACCAGAAGTTGTACGCTTGTTTGTTCGCCTCCGCGTCAAACAGCATGTCCTTGTAGTTGCCCAGCCAGTATCTGAAGCCACCATGGTCCCAGAGAGCCCTATAAAAGGCCTCGCGCTCCTCGGGTGAGTCGTCAAAGGTGTTGCGCTCATGCATGCCGTAGAAGAACCCGCCGAAACATTTCTCGCGGAGTTGGAAGAGGCGCGGGTACCAACCCTTAGCGACGTTTTGCTCGGCTGGTGTAAGGGGGCGCTTGCCCATCGGCACGGCTAAATTCGGCGTTCGTTGAAAGACTTTCAGCTCTCCGTCTTCTCCTACAAGTTGCCCCCATTCTTGGGAGATTTGGACACCGGAGGCACCAGTACCAATGACGGCACATCGCTTGCCACGGACGTTTACATCTTCTTCGGGCCAGAAGGAAGAGTGGTGGACGATCCCTTTGAACTTTTCGACGCCGGGCCAGTTGGGGATGTATCGCTTGGATGCCTACAGGACGGATGAGCGTCAGCTGACGAGATGAAGGGAGTTGGACATTGAGGTTAACTCACAAAGCCAGCTGCAACAATAAAGTACTTGGCCTTTGCCAAGCGGCCGTCGGCAGTCTTGACGTGCCACTTGCCTTCGGTGGGTTGGAATTGAGCGCCCACTACGACTGTCTCAAAGGAGCAGTCTTTTGAGAGGTTCAAGACCTGCATGCATCCATCTTAGTAATGAAATCCCTACCAATTAGGCAGAGGAACTGCCAGTTACGACGAACTCACTTTGTCGACGTGGTCGAAGTAAGCCCGCAGCTCCTGGAAGTTGGGGTAGTTGGTGGACCATGTCCAACCCTCAAAGACCTCGGGCCAAGAGAACTCGTACTCGGGGACCTCAGAATCCACACGCGCTCCCGGGTACCGGTTCCACCGCCAAGTGCCTCCGAATGAGGTGCCGGCCTCGTAGATGACACACCGCAGTCCCATCTCACGGAGAGTCTTCAGCATAAACACGCCCCCTTTTAGATTGTCAGCCGTGCCACCGTCGTACAGAATCGGTTACACATGGAGGGTGACTTACCGAATCCTCCACCAACAATCAGGACATCCACATCGAGGTTGTCAGCATACGGTCCAGTAGTCTGACGCCGTGAGGAGTAGTCTGACAGCTCCGTTGCGAATTTCTTGCCGCTTGCTGCCGCCATAGTTGAAATGCTGTTTCTGGAAATTGTTTCTTGAAGTCTCGCTTGAATGCACACAATGGACGATGTTGCAATTCGGGGAAAGGCTACGAGAGCTTGACAGCTGTCTTATAACCACCTTCATCGTAACGAATTTACCGTTCGGTTTCGTTTGAAATGATGCTTTGCCATGACATCAGATGATACCTGGCATCCCCAAAGCTTCATCCCAGTTTCGAGGATTGCTCCGCAGCTTCAGTGCCTGCGGAAGCGGCCAACAAACCTGAGCCGCAGTTGCATCGATCACCACGCGGAGACATTTCAATAACACAGCACCTATGTAAGCCCCTGCGGATGCGCATGCATGTATTCGATAATCCGCTGCAATGAAGACTCGGGTGTCCAGCCAATAGCGACGGCTCCGCGACCAACCACGCGCAACAAGCTCCCTCGAAGCTCCCGGACCGCGTCATGGGTTTCACCCCTCTTACAAACGTCAGCCGCGGAACAGTTACGCTGCGGATCCGCAGGCTAGCTGTGCCCGGGTTGGCGTGCGGGAAGGATGTCGCATGCAAGTGCGGAGAGCCGACCGTCACTCGGGCGCGGATCCGCATGTGCCGTTGCTACTGCAGCGTCTGCGGGGAAAACGAAAACCTTCGGGTCGCCATCGTGGAGGGCTGGCCCCTGTCGTTGACGAATCACGCAGCCCAAGCCGTGAGACATCTAACTAACTTTCCCTTCATCCTTGGCAGACTTCATGGTGTGTGCTGGCCTGCCAATTCGGCATTTACTCGCTGCAGACCGAGGTTCTGCGCAGCGTGGGATTGGCTCTTTTGATTTTCTGCCCTTCGTCTATGGATACCGAAGTGCGTTGATTTTGCCATATTGAGCGGAACCTGCACTACCACTATCAGCAGTATGCGAGCATGTCCAGAACTAGCGGTTACACGCCAAGGATAGCGGCAGGTTGAAAAGCCGCATTGTAACCTCGGGTTTACACACCCGCTTGTCCTTTTCTTCAGCAGAGACAACGTGCTGAATCGTCAGCGTTCATCCCATTGAATCATTACCACGCGGCAAGCCATCATTGTAATTGAATCTCAGCCCTACTACCGCCTAATCATGCCTTTTTCTGCCCAGACGGTTGATGAGCTGAAAAGCCTCGTTGACAATGCCACCAGCAACTCTCACAGCATCCCGGGGACGACGGTTGTGGTGGTAGACCGCAGCGGGGCGGAGCAATTCGCCCACTCTTCAGGAAAGCGCGGGATCTCATCGAGCGAGGAGATGAGTCTTGAAAATGTATTTTGGATTGCCTCCTGCACAAAGATGGTCGCGGGGATCGCGTGCATGCAGTTGGTCGAGAAGGGGGTTCTCAAGCTGGATGACTCTGCTCATCTCGAGAAGCTGTGCCCAGAACTCGCGGAGATCAAGGTGTTGAACTCAGAGGGGAAACTGGAGGAAAAGAAGAGAGGCATCACGCTTCGAATGCTTCTAACGCACACTGCTGGCTTCGGCTACACCTTCTTTGACCCCCGTCTCCGAGACTTCAGTTACCCAGCGGGCATCGATGAGTTTTCCGGTAGCATCCGGGATATGATGCAGCCGCTCGTTTTTCAACCTGGTGAGAATTGGGAGTACGGCGTAAGAATTCCGACCTGTCTGATCGCTGAAATGGTTTGGTTCTAACTTGCCTGCAGATTGGTATTGACTGGGCTGGCATCGCTCTCGAGCGTGCGACAAACATGAGTCTCAATGACTACATCCAGAAGAATGTTTGTCAACCCCTGGGGTTGAAGAACGTCAACATGATACCCACGCCTTCAATGAAGGCGCAGCTTGCATACATGCATTATAAGAACCCCGAGGGCAAGATTACCGTTAGAGATCACCCTCTTCACCGGTCGCTCATTGCCCAGTCCGCTGAGGAAATTGCGAACACCTTCAACAGTGGTGGAGCTGGGTTGTTTGCAAAGCCTTCAGAATACGCCCGTAAGTTTTCTCTTAGAGCATTCCTCCGATATGTAAATTGCGGCTAAGCAACATCAGGCATCCTGACCGTCTTCTTGAACGACGGAACCTGCCCAGTCACCAAAGCGCAGATCTTGAAGAAGCAGACCGTAGACGAGATGTTCAGGAACCAGATCCCCGAGTTCCCCAACTTTGGCAGGTCAGGTATCCCGCCCGCGAAGCCGGAGCTCACGAACCCCATCCCTGAGATTTACCCGGTCCCCGGAAACCCGCCGCAAGGGTGGGGACTGACATTCATGATTACCGGTGGGCCGACCGGGCGGTCTGACGGGACCGCATGGTGGGCAGGGCTGCCGAACTTGTTCTGGTGGTGCGACAGAGAGAACGGAGTTGCTGGCATCGTGTGCTCTCAAATCTTGCCGTTCTGTGATGCGTCGGTCATGGGATTGTGGGGTCAGCTTGAGATGGGTGTGTACAAGGGGCTCGGCATTCTGAAGGATTGAGACTTTACGAAGTTGATCCGATCCAGTCGTTTGTATGCTTCTATGAGTTGTTCGATGAAGTCTCGTGGGTGGAATAATTACGTATGATTGGACGTCACGTCCGAGCTGGCCAAGTCCTTTTCGTCGTCTAGGCACAATGAAACCATGATATACCTGGGAGCACGCACAATGTGGTTGGTTCCTCCCAGCCGATACACGTCGTAAGTCCATGTTCACCGACATCTCGGTCCTGTGGCATAAGCTTCAGCTACAGATTCACTGCCATCCAAGCTGACCCCAGCAATCTGGACTCAGTGCCAACCTGGCCTGCAGCTACCGATATCTGGGGACGCACAGGGTCGGCGGGGAGACAAGCCGTATGCACCCCGCTCTCATATGCAGCTCAAACGCGGGGTTGACATGGTCATCCCTGGGTGCGCGTCGTTTCGGATGGCCGGGCGCTTTAAAAGGTCACGGGGAACCAGCGGGGAGAGCGTTGGAGGAACGCTGTGGGCACTTCGGGCTGACTTTGCTTGCGTCAACTCACGTCCCTCGCGTCCGAATGCCAACGTCGAACGAAACATTCACGACATTTCCCAGCGAACAAGCCACCCGCAGAGATGAGAAGACAGAATAGTAGCTGCGACCAGTGCAGGAAGGGGAAACGGGCTTGCGATGCCGGTGCTGTCAAGGACCTCCAGCTCTGTTTCGAGAATGAGATGCAATGGAACATTGGCAAGTTTCTCGAAGTCTCACCTACCTCCTCCCAACTAACGTCATCGCAAGATTGGCAAGATTTGACGGGACCGTGCTCAAACTGCCAAAAGACCAGGAAGAGTTGCACTTACGACTGGGCTCGCTCGCAGCAGCATCAAATCCGCGAGAGACGACAATCATCAGTCTCCGACAAGCGTCCCTTGCCAAGTCGCAAGCGAGTCAAGTCCGTTCATGATGCCGTGGTACCAGCTACATCCCAAGGAACAGTCGAGGGCTTCCAAGATATCTTCCCAGGATTGGGCTATAATGACCCAAGTCTCTTCTATGAATCGAATCAGCCGTTGTTCCCCGAACCCATGTTCGGGCCAGGCTCTGAGAACTTTTCATTATCCCCGACCAACGACACAGCCAGCAACGCCTCCCTAGCTGACGATCTATCACTGGCATTTCCGGCCTCTTCAGCAACGTCGATGCCAAGTTGTTTATCAGATGAGCTACCCGGATTAGACGGAGCTGACAATATTTCTGTGCACGACCCTTCAATAATTGAGTTCACTCCCAAGACATTGGCAGGAGCCCGAGCGACAGCACGGAAGAGGCCATGGCAAGGCAGAAAGTACCCAGACTTCTCATTAGGCGGCTTGTCGGAGTTCTCGCCAACTCAGCAGATGATGGCTCGCACGAATAACGGGCTAATGACTGAAAACCTCATGAAGCTCTACCACGATGTCTTGGAGGGAGCACTTTCATGCTGGCTGACGGAGCAAAATTGCCCCTATTTGCTGCCTGCGAAATCGACGGAGAACCTCAATTTCCAAGTGGGAGAGTCAGTTTCGAATCTCCCAAACAGGATCTACCGAAGAGTTCTGAATCTTGACAAGTCTCTAGACTCTCTCGGGATCAAGCCGCTAAGTCCATATGAGGACAGGCAGGCCACTAGGGCGCTTCACTTCTCAATCATGGCATTCACTGCACAGTGGGCCCAGGGCAGTTGGAGGAGCCAATCACGATATAGGTCATCAAATTTTGAGGATGCAGGACTTTGCCTTTCGGGTCTAGGGGAAGACTTTGACAAAACGATTCAACAATCGTTCTGGAATCAAGCACGTAGACATCTTGATGACTGCTCCGGGATCAACTCATTCAAGCTTGCGTTCGCGGAGATAGTCTTTGGACTAACACAACAGCACGTATCTGAGTCAGATGATTTCACCTTTGAAGACTTCGATATAGGCTCAACGGGTTCGTCTTGTGGCGGCAGTGTGCCAGAACGAATCAAAACGGTGTTTGAAAAGGACGGAAGCAATATTTATACGGAGAGGGCGGCTCGACGACTTCACGTTCTCCGACGACGAGTTGATACATTCGACCGTACAGCATCAAAAGCGCAGCTTGCGGGGCGGATGCCCTGTAAAAGAGCGGATTCTGAGGAACGTAAGACGATGGAACTGATATTTTGGTTGGCAGTCATGTTTGACACCCTATCCGCAGCTATGACGGAAAGACCGGTGACTGTATCAGACGAGGAAAGCAAAGAGAATGATGAGACGAAGGACGAACTCGAAGCTGGGCAGCAAAGGCGAGGGCCGTCCACCAGCGACTGGAACGACCGGTTCATCATCAAGCGACACCAGAAACTCGCACCCTTGAGGTGGCCATGTCCCGAGCAGGCGGTCTCCAGAGAGCTTCGGGATGCGGCGCCGGTCAAAGTCCTTCTGTTCCGGAAGATTACTCGGCTGCAGACTTTGTCATCGAGAGGTGCCAAGGAAGAAGCGGTCGAAAGCGCGATCCAGGATGCCCTCTCCGTATACCGACACTGGAACATGACATACGGTCCCCTCTTCCAGGATTGTGTCCAGTACCATGATTCGCTTCCCTCGACGATCCAGAGCTGGTATGTGTGTCTGCTAGGCCACTGGCTCTTAGCAGTCATGATACTAGCCGACACAATCAGCTTGATGGATGAACAGAGCATGAGCATGTCACCCCGCGCAAGACAAAGAGCCGAGACAAATATGATCGACAATCTACGAAGATCAAGTACCCGCATGGTTTCAGACCTTGCGAAAGCCTCAACACCCCGCGATGACGACCTAGGAAAGCTGCCGGAGTATCACCATGCCGCGAAAGAGGGCGCTTTGCTAACAGAGCCTTGGACAATGGTTCTGATGCGATCATTCACCATGGCGGGGTTGTCTCTACTCGACGAGGCTACAACCCGAGAGTCACAAGATGAAATCGCTGTTGAAGACTCGCAGAGACGTTGCGAGGATTGCGTCAAGGCGCTTTGGTACTTGGGACGCAAGTCAAGCTTGTCTCTCAAAGTAGCCGCAATTCTAGGTGACGGGCTTGAAAGATCAAGACTTCGTGGTCTTGGCTCGGGTACAGACTTTGTTGGTGCTGGTGAGCGGAGCACAATTAGTCAGGTAGAAGTTTTCTGAGCGCAATCGGAGGGCAAGAAATCCTAATTGATTATTGCGAATGTTCTGCATATAATAGGTCATCGCAACAGTTGATTTGGGTGGGCTGAACGGGCCAGCATTCTCGATTGACCAAATGAAACCTCTCACTTTCATATTCGGACCAGAACTTGACCAATCATACGCATCGCATGTCTCATTGCAAGCTTGAGATTGCCGTCGACTTCGTCCTTTGTGCCCTTTCTGCCAAAGAGTCGTCAGCTTTTGGAACGACGAGAGTCCGAGATCCCATCTAAGACTCCTCCACGTGTGAAGACCCTTTTCCCTACAGGGAATAAGACAATTTCGTCGGAATAGACACGGAAACTTCCTGTTTTTCTTTGAGGTTGGTCTTGCGTTGGGGTCGCAGTGGAAGATCTATTTCCGCTGTCGTCAGGTTTTACCGCATCCGGAAGTGAGGCTGAATCAAATAGGCGAGGCCGCCCAGTTCCGGATAACCTTCACATGCAAGTCTAGTTTCTTTGAGCAAATACTCGTATCCGGTTCTGCAGTGCGATGAAGGGCTCCGAAATCACGCTCTATCAGCTTGGAGCAAGTTTGAAAGTCTTGAATTTGACGTCGTGTAATCTGCAGACCGCAGACCCTTCTGAAAAAATTATAATACGTAGAGATACCCCAGTTGTACAAGAAGAAAAGGGTGATAATACATCATGATACCGTGAAATCCATCTCAAAAAACAATTCGTCAAGTCATTATTGAGCCCAGTGAGACATCCCTTTACCCAACTTTGGTGACCTCCGTCGTAGTCTTGCCCTGCATGTACGCCCCAAATATCCTCGTCTCTGGTACCTCAAACAGCTTGTCCGTGTCCGCCGTCGGGGAGGGCTGTGAGTACGAGAAGCTCGTGCCCGGGCAATGCGCCAGTTCCAGATCAAGGTCGTCGTCGCGGGGATATTCTTCGGTCGTAACCTCGACCTTAACTTCGTGCGTGACAAATATTTGCCCGATGCCGCTCCTGAGAACGGGCCAGAAGACGGGGAGGGAAGCGCAGATCGCGGCGACATCGATCTCGAGAATGGCGAGGACCATGGGCACCGGGGCGTACCACGTTGGGTCGAGTGTGGGGTAGGTACCTGCGCGGGAGCGGACGAGGGCGACGAGGCGCCAGGCGGAGAGCATGAGGACGCTTTGGAAGATGTGTCAGCCTTCGAAGATTGTAGACGATAAATCAGTATCAAAGAGACTTACACGCTGCCGAGAAGGAAGAGGCCAAGGACGCCCTTGCGCGACCTCTTGTTGGCTTCCTTGTTGAAGTAGAGCGGTAGCGGGATGGCGAAGATGATAAAGTCGAGGAGCATGTTGCTCGTCGCGTGGGCCTCATATGTCTTGATCAGCTCTTCCGCCACCTGTGTCCCGAAACCCCAGCGTCCTATCGTCGGCTGGCTCCAGTCCCAGTACCCGCGGACCGGGATGCAGGGGACCCAGGCGAGGAACATGAATGCGATGCCCCACATGGACGTGAGGACGATCATGACAATGGTCAGGGTGTAGGACTTGGAACCCTTTTCAAAAGTTCGGAGGTATTGAAGGAGGATGGCGATCTTGATGAACGTTGTTGACATTGGAAGGGTTCCATTGCAGATGTAGAAGATCTGGATATGTTATTAAAAAATGAGCAAGACGTGGTAGTTGATGGGAGGTGTACCTTGAGGAAGATACTCAAGTCTATTTGGAGTTCGGGGAATTTCAACAAGTGCTCTCCTAAGCCATGGTCGGTTGCGACGCAGGTACCGATACTACCTATTGATATTGATATCTGATGAAGAGGTTAACAGGTGCTGCGGCCCAGTCATGGTTTGTGAAGCTCACCATTACCAATACCACGAAGAAGTCGTCCCATCCTGCTGCCTTGACGATGAAGATGCGAGTAAATAATCTCATAAGCGCGCATAGCAAAGTGAAGACCTGTGGAAGGACGATGTCAGCCGCCAGTGATCCGCCAGACATTGAAGGCCCACATCAATCGCGACCTACCAAGAACGATATCACGATGCCAAGCATCACACTTCGATTATTAATTGCAGGCCTCGCATCATGGAGATTGTCGGCTTTCCCAATCAACTCGATAAAAGACGTCATATCGTCGATGCCCCGGTCGAGGGGGAAGAAGCGCGACAAGGAGGGAAATGGCTAATACCACTATTGATGCATGTCAAACCTCCTCAAGTCCGCTCTTGCTGTTCTCAGTTGAATCGAATGTCAATCGGTATCGATGAAAAGGGGGCGGAGTCTTGGGATTGGAATTCAAGACAAGAAACAACAAAAGAAGGAGCACAAGAGTAGATGAACTGCCATAGAAGAGGGTGTGCGAAGGCCCCGGGCCTTATGGCATCCTGGATCATGGCAACATCCGGACATGGCTAAACAGAACGCAGATCAAGACGTGCCAGCAGACTCCCGGGATTAGCAAAATGATGAAAGCGCGGCCGCCCGGAGGCGTTGGGCTTGGTTCGTACAAGCGTCAAGCGAAACGTTTCTCGGCTGGCAAGAAATGATCCACGCCAGGATGGCATTAGCCCTCCAAGGCGTTTGTCTCTCTTCGTTGTCTCTCTCTTCTGCCCCCCTGGTTCGCTTCTGGGCCTTTGCGCCCCACCAATTTACCGAATGAGGTGGGCAAATTCTCCGGGCTGCAGCAGCGTTTGCATGTATGTCGTACTACAGCGTGTGCAAACAAAACATTGAATTGTTATGAAGTGCCATTGAAGAAACGGGGGAGATTGCTGTCAATAGTAATGCCCATTCGGCTATCCCGCAATGAAAGGTCCTTCGATTACGAGGCGGGAACGATATGTCCACCGCTCTGATGAGTCTCCCTCATATGTCTATCAAGAAACTGCCGCATGGCGAACGGGCGTTCCATTCACGCCGCGGACGCACACGCCATACGAGCTTGCAGATCCCGCGTAGAACCCGGAGAGCCGGTTCCCATCCGCTTCCCCCCTGTGCCCTGTTGCCGGGAATGCTGCAAGACCCCTGCTTCATTCTGGCCCTGTGTTTAGAAAAGCGTGGCTTGCCCCAAGACTTTGGTCCGTTGCCCAGAGCTGGAATATCCACTCGACGCATGCGGGGATGGGAATGTGGCGGATGGGCAAAATACGCCGTGTTAGGATTAGGGTGATGGGTGGAAATGCTGTGGTCCTTTGCAAGGCGCCCAGCAGAAGGGTCCTGTCTGCCTCTCTCTTCTCTCTTTCTTCGGCCAAAGCGAGGCCCCCACATTACCGAATGAGACATGTTTTCTTGTTCTTCAGCAGCGGTTAGTAGTGCTGAGCTGCGTTCTGGAAGCTTGCGGGTTGTGGAGTGCCGGTGAAGCTGCTGATCCGGACGCATTCGGACGGTGAGCAGTTGTCGCAAAGGTCCAATGTTGCGAGTTTGTGGCTGATATGGAAGAGCATGCTCAGTTCCAGACGAGCAATCTTGACGCATGCGATGGGTCTGGTGCGCCCATTGGTTGGAGATGGACCTCGAACGTCATTGTTCAACCTCCCCATCATGTCTGGGCAAGCTAACTAACGACCAACTCTTTGCCTGCCCTATCGTCCTTTTCAGTCTTTTGCCTTGCCAACCGTTTCAATTGTTTTGCAGCTTTTCTGCCCGCCCGCCCTGTTTCTTTGGCTGCACCTCTTTCATGTCCCCCTTGCGAGCTTTCCCCTGAAATCGATGCAGCCCGTTCCAAAATGCGGCGTTAAATGTGGCGCGAGCATTTGGACATAACTGCGGCCCGCGGCTCCAGAATGATGGCAGGTTCGCCCGCTCGGTGTGCGTAGCACCCTCGCTTACACCCTGGCGGCGGTGATGGACTGCTCGGATACCGGTTAATAGTTATCACATCCAAGCTTGACGGCTTTTTAACCCAGTTCACACATGTTCTCGAAACGGACGGTGATAAGACCATGCGGTCGGGTGGCAAGCCACTGTCGTCTGGAACGCAACACCTCGACGCCACGTTATTTCCCTTGGGGCGTGGTTTGGGGCCTAACTGCGCGGTAGTCGCATTTGATGTGAGTTGCGAGTGCGGCTTGTAAACATGCCAGTCAACAAGCCCAGACACCCGGTAAGTGCTGGGAAAACACGTGGCTTGTCAGTCATTTTCAGACGATCTCGATCGTGAGGCACTCGTTTCTTGGCTTTGACATGATTTCTTCATTGATAATTTGATCGCGGTCTCGTCTATTCATGCTCATTCCCTCCCCCTTTAACCCAACTGCCGGCCCAAAAACAACGTGCGCGCGTCTATCGTAATTCCCACGCCGTTTGCCATGCCCCTGATTCCGATGCCATTCCAAGCATCCAAATCAGGAAATCCGCGGAGACCATCCTCGCGGTTCCCACCCCTCGCCCAATGAGACAGGAGACTACCCTCCGTGACCGTTCAAAACAACAACAAGCTCCCTATGTGCTTGCTTCTATCTAACTGGAAGCCCCGAGCTCCTCCTCGAGCTTGTTCAGCTCGCTCATCAGGCTGTGCACGGCCTTCTTCTGGTCCTCGCTGGCGGGGAGGTACGGCCTGCGGGGGTCGAAGAGCTTCTCCTGGCCCGAGAGACCGGCGCGCGGCGCCGTGAACACGGAGGCGGCGTACTTGATGGTCGCGATGCCGGCCTTGGTGGCCTGCTCAGCGAGCGCGGCCTTCTGGTGCAGCGCCAGCGCCTCGGCGGTCTTGCCCTCGCCGTGCAGCTTGTAGATGTGCGTCGTGACGCGGGGGAAGACGTTGGCGAAAGCGGCAATGCAGCCCGCGCTGCCGACCGTGAGGCCGCCGAGCAAGAAGTCGGACTGACCGCCGTAGGTGGCGAACTTCTCCGGGGCGAGCTCGGCGGACAGGCGCACGATCTTGGCGACGGCGCCGCAGGTGAGCTTGACGCCGACGATGCTGTCGTACTTCTTGGCGTACTTTGCGATGGTGGCACTGTCGAGGTCGATGCCGTTGCAGACGATGGGGAAGTTGTAGATGACGATGGGGATGGGCGACTTGGTGGCGACCTCGTCGAAGAAGCGGTCGATGACGGCGGGGGTGGTCTGCTTGCCGAAGTAGGCTGGGGGCAGGACGAGGGCGGAGTTGGCGCCGGCCTCGGCGGCGTCGGAGAGCAGCTCAAGGACCTGCTTGGTGGAGTGCGCGCCGCAGCCGGCCATGATGGGGAAGTCGGGGCCGGTGGCCTTGCGAGCGGTGGCGATGAGCGCCTTGCGCTCTTCGCGGGTGAGGAGGAAGGCCTCCGCGTTGGTGCCGAGGATGACGAGGCCGGCCAGGCCTGTCTTGGAGAGGTAGGAGTAGTACTTGGTCTGCGCCTCGAGGTCGAGCTCGTCCGTCTCCGGGTTGAAGAGGGTCACGGCCGGGGCCCAGACACCGTTGGGGGGCACCTTGGAGGGAGACATTGTGGTTGTTTGGGGTTTTGGTTCTTCAATGAGGGGTATCTAGAGGGGCTGTGAGATGAGATGCCGTGTTGCTGACTGACTGACACCTTAAGAGCTGTGAGAATATCTAAGTATGTTGTCAAAACTGATTGAAACTTGTGATGAGTGAGTGATCAGGAGTCTTTATTATGAACGATTCGGGTTTGATGACCGAGGTTGTGCTCTCCCCAGAGTCGGGATCGTATCCGTTGGATGACAAGAGTCAGATAACAGAGGGGTTACTATCGGATATCCGCACCGGGACCAGATCCGACTCCCCCGCCTTTGAGGCCGGTCTCGGCCGTGCATGGACAGGGGTATATCCGGCCGACGCCCGATCTTTTTCCACGGATATTATTACCACGGGCGGCCCCCGCCCGTAGCGCACCACTCTCATTCGTAACAGCTCACACTGAGACGCTGTCACACTGTCTGTCACTCGCATATCTGAAGAAAGTTTCGGGCTTTACAGCGCACTTTCCAGCAATCACGTAAGGCGTGTAACCCCGAAATTCCCCCGCTAACGATTTCTGCAACCAACACAGCATGCGCACACCCCAAACAGTCGACGATGGCTTCAAAAATGAATGTTGGGCCCTGGCCAGGGATCGAACCTGGGACCTCTTCCAAATTAAATGTTGAACGATCAACCCTAAGGAAGAATCATACCGCTAGACCACCAGGGCTGGTGATATCCGCTTGCCGATGATGGCTCGCTTGGATGGCGGGGCGAGAGTGGTGCCGCCATGAAGCCATGGTGGGCTCGATGGGTCTGTTTGATGGGGTTGAGCAAGACCATCACGGCGCTTCACGAGGCTCTCCCAAGTGGGTATCTGGATCTCATTCGAATCCGTGGTGAGCTGCCAAAATCGACGACTGCCGGCCGTGAGTCGTCTCGAGAGGCACGAGGGTGGGTTCGTTCTTCACTGTCTCTCAATCCTCTAATGAGTCGAGCAGAACGCACATATTTTACAAGCAGATAACAGGAAACGAATCAGAAAATAAGCACGGCAATAGAAACATACCATTTCCCCGGTGTTGGACGCTGTCCCGAACAAAATGCGGCAATACATAAGCGTAAGCTGGTAACAAGCATATGCTTTAATCATACCGGACAAGAATGAGACCAAACCGGGGTCGAAGCGCCATGCTCATTTCTTTCAGATTTTCAACTCTCAAAAATCGAATACGGAATGCTGGCAGAAACCGCAAAGTTCGGCATATCGACAATTTCAGCGATTTTCAAGTCCGCTGCGATGCTGCAGAGCATGTACGCCTCTTCCCTGGTCAAATCTCTCGTTGCAGTAAGGTGTGCGATGAGAGACCTCAAGGCCTTCTTACTCGCTTCCAATAGGTCGGAGTCAATACCCAGGACGGCGTAGACCGCCGGGTTACTCTCAACCTTGCCATGCACTGAGCCGCGAGTGTCGTAGTGCGGACTCGTGACATACGGCATATCTTTTCGGACGTTGAACCGTAGCGTGGCCTTCATGGGTGTCTCGATCGCCGTCCCGCAAACTTCGCCGTCACCCTGGGCGGCGTGTCCATCGCCACAGCTGAATAGAGCCCCCGGTACCTTGACCGGGAGATATAGCTTCGTTCCTTGGGTGATGTGTTTGCAGTCGATATTTCCGCCGGTGTCTAGCGGCGGGATGGTCGAGAACTCGCCGTCTTCCGCTGGCGCGATACCCGCGACG